ATTGATTTTGTCATCTGGGAGTTGTAGTTGATGGGATGTATAGTTCACCTACAATCAAAGAGCATTCTGAACTCCACCAATGATGGAATTGAAGCAAACTTGGCAGACGGAGCTCCCATGACCAACAGAAAATACTGGAAGGGTTTGGTAGGCATTGGTCTTGAGTTTTGGAGTTTTAGTTCACTTACATCCAGAGAGCACTGTGGACTCAAACAATGATGGATCTGGACCAAACTTGACACGAATACACAATACACCCAAATGTGAACACTGGTGGAGTTTGGGGAAAATAGACCTTGACATTTGGGAGTTGTAGTTGCTGAGATGTATAGTTCACCACCAATTGGACCAAACTTCCCGCACAGAAGTCCCATGACCAACAGAAAATATAGTATTTTCTGATGGTCTCTGGCGACCCCTCTGACACCCCCTAGCGACCCCCCAGGGGTCCTGACCCCCAGGTTGAGAAACACTGGTCTAGATGGACCAGAAAGCCTTGTGATATTCTGATTTGTGGACCAAACATTTGGCCAAAATATTAAAAGATTGCTTGGCAAATTGTTAATTAAGTTTTCAAGGTAAATGTGTTATATTTTCACCACAGATTAAATAAAAGGAACTTTTTATTCAAATGTTCTCCATTTTTCTGTAAATATCCAAACAATCATATAACCCCCCTCATTTTTCAGTGTAACTTCTTCCACAGAAGTATGCACTTTTTGTTATATTCCCTTCATTTTTTTTACATGAGATTTCACTTCAAGATTTTAGAACTATGATTTACTCCATTGCTCACCGTAAAATGATATATAATTCCCATTTTGAAACGTTTCACTGCAAGATGTGAGGACTATGAAGGTCAAAATTGGGAAGGAAAGAAGTAAATGGCATTCAGAAGTATTGGTTTTACCTTGAAGCTGACAGTTTTACAAAACGATTTCAAGGACGTGATTGTCCTGAAAAAAACATATCTGCTAGTGAAGCTTCTCTCTTATGGAAAAGGTAGTGTAAAATAGTTTTATTTATTTATTTATCTACGACATTTATATGCCGCCCTTCTCACCCCGAAGGGGACTCAGAGCGGCTTACAAGATATATATACATACAACATATTATTAGCATAGTACAATATCAATGTTAAATATTACTATATTTGCGATATTCCTGCTTCTTGGCAGGGGGTTGGACTGGATGGCCCAAGAGGTCTCTTCCAACTCATTGATTCTATGATTCTATGATTCTATATTGTACTATACCATTATATTGTAATATTACATGTAATATAAATATATAATTATAATATCAATTAATATTATTAGTATTATATTGCATTACATTATAATATTATAATATTATAAATATAAGTTTTAATGATGTACAAGTCTTACAAAACAATTTCAAGGATGTGATTGTCCTGAAAAAAAATTATCTGCTAGTGAAGCTTCTCTCTTATGGAAAAGGTAGTGTAAAATAGTTTTATTTATTTATTTATTTATTTACGACATTTATATGCCACCCTTCTCACCCTGAAGGGGACTCAGAGCAGCTTACAAGATATATATACGTGCAATATATTATTAGCATAGTACAATATCAGTGTTAAATATTACTATATTGTACTATACCATTATATTGTAATATTACATGTAATATAAATATATAATTATAATATCAATTAATATTATTAGTATTGTATTGCATTACATTATAATATTATAAATATAAGTTTTAATGATGTACTAGTCTGTTTTACTGTCAACAAATACATGCTTTAAATGGAGGTCAATAGGCCTCCATTGGCCTCCATCAGCACATGAAGGTATGCCTCTTTTAAATCTATTTGGGCAAAGTGCAGGCCCGTAGCCGGGGGGGGGGGGGGGGGGGGGGGGCTTGAGGGGCTTCAGCCCCCCCCCCCCGAAATTCTCAGGGTGGTCCGCAAGAAGGCCTTACTGGTACATTATTTAAACTGTTATGTTTATTCAGATCATGATCTGATCACCATGCTCAATATATCCCATATGCATGGGGGTATTGGAGTTACGATACAAAAGGTTTGCTAGGGTAGATCCTGAGCCCCCCCCCCCCCGAATCAAACTCAGCCCCAGCCCCCCCTGAATCAAAATCCTGCCTACGGGTCTGGGAGAGTGGATAAAAAAATATCTACAATAATTAAACATGTTACTCAAAACAAGTTGAATAAATAAATTAATTCATTTATTTAATGTCTCCTTCCTAAAAGACTCTTCTAGGCATTTAATGTGTTGGTTATTTCTCTTGACAACTAAAAAAACAATTGTCCAGTGTTATAACAGTGGTGTCATCATGTTCATCTGGTTCAAATATAGGTTGTAGTTGGTTGGTATAAGTTTTGCATAACTGCTTAATAAGTAGAATGCAAGGCTGCTTCATAGTCTTAGTGGTTCTCAACCTGGGGTCCCCAGATGTTTTTGGCCTACAACTCCCAGAAATCCCAGCCTGATTATTATTATTATTATTATTATTATTACACTTTATTTGTACCCCGCTACCACCTCCCTAAGGGACTCGGTGCGGCTTACATGAGGCTGAGCCCAAATACAACAATACAGACAATAAACAACAATAAAATAAAAAAACATAAGCAATAAAATATACAACATTATCACTAAGACAACACACAATTAAAAACAGTGGGAAGGCCAAATGTAAAGTTAAAATTGGAAATAATGTTGGGACATGGACGAAAGGAGAAAACGTGTTTGTAAGATAAATAATAATAATAATTAATATATTAATATTAATATTAATAATATATTAATAATATTAATAATTTGAAGGATATTCTAATAATATGTTATAATATAATATATAATATATTGTATATACATATAATATTTATAATATTGTAATGTAATGTAATGCAATATCATAATAATATGATATTATAATTATATATTTATATTACATGTAATATTACTAATAATATTACAGTATAATTGATATAGTGCAATATAGCAATATTTAAAACTGATATTGTACTATGTTAATAATATATTGTATGTATATATACCTTGTAAGCCGCTCTGAGTCCCCTTCGGGGTGAGAAGGGCGGCAAATAAATGTCGTAAATAAATAAATAAATAAATAAGAGCGTGCTTGTTGTTGTTCATTCGTTCAGTCGTCTCCGACTCTTCGTGACCTCATGGACCAGCCCACGCCAGAGCTCCCTGTCGGCCGTCACCACCCCCAGCTCCTTCAAGGTCAGTCCAGTCACTTCAAGGATGCCATCCATACATCTTGCCCTTGGTCGGCCCCTCTTCCTTTTTCCTTCCACTTTCCCCAGCATAATTGTCTTCTCTAGGCTTTCCTGTCTCCTCATGATGTGGCCAAAGTACATGATGTGGCCAAACTAGAAGACCTAAAAAAATGTAAATTGCTTTGGAGGACAAAGTGCTATAATATCATTGTTCTGGGAAAGCACACTGGAACAGCCACGTCTTCAAGCTCCTCCTGAAGACTGCCAGAGTTGGGGCCTGTCTGATGTCTTTAGGGAGTGAGTTTCAGAGTCGAGGGGCCACCACCGAAAAGGCCCTCTCTCTCGTCCCCACCAATCGTGCCTGCGATGCTGGTGGGATCGAGAGCAGGGCCTCTCCGGATGATCGAAGGGATCGTGTGGGTTCATATGGAGATGCGGTCACGCAGGTAGGCGGGTCCCAAACCATTCAGGGCTTTGTAGGTAAGAACCTGCACCTTGAATTGGGTCCGGTAGATGAATGGCCACCAGTGGAGCTCCTTGAACAGAAGGGTTGACCGCTCCCTGTAAGGAGCCCCAGTTAACAACCTGGGAACATCTGAAATTTCCGGGCCGTTTTCAAGGGCAGCCCCACATAGAGTGCATTGCAGTAATCCAGTCTAGAGGTGACTAAGGCGTGGACCACTTTGGCCAGATACACCTTCCCGAGGTACGGTCGCAGTTGGCGCACGAGTCTTAATTATGCAGTTTACTAGCTGTTAGGATTTCTGGGGTGTCAAAAACATCTGGGGGCCCCAGGTTGAGAACCACTGAGCTTACGTCAGGATGATGTTGCTTTCCATGCGATTTAAGACTCAGTTTCTTTTAATGAATTGCACACTGAGTATGGTATAGCACACTGTGATAAGCGAGTCACAACACAGAGAAGACCATCCAGGTTGCTTTCAAATGTGGGCGCCCAAATGAACCTTGATCCCCAGAAGGCCAAACAGCTGCCTCTGTCAAGACTCTTTAAACTCTGACCAGGTGGAATCTCAAGTTGCATGTGTGAAAGAATCGGGAGGAGGTGGGAGCATGGCATGTAGAATTTTCTTCTTGCTTTTTTTCTCAGCCACTGAGCATGCCTTTGCACCAGCGCATGGTGGGAAAGGACTCCATCCTAGAGCTGGATGGAAGCAAACGGACACATTCCTTTGAGAAGTTGTCCTGGTTCACTACCCTCCTATGCAAGATGCTACTTTCCGATTGCATAGACACGATCAAAGAGGGAAGCGCCTGCCACTTCAGCCGTGGGTTATGTGGCAACATGAATTGCAGGACTCAGTAGAGAAACAAAGAAGGGACCGCTCTAGTTCTGCTAATTCATTGAGGCGTGCCCCACCATATCCTGAATAACCCCTTGTTGAAGTGTTGTGAATCTTGATTTATGCCACTTGCACACAGCCCTGGGAAAGATCTGGACTAACGGTGACAGGCTGAAGGAAGAGCTGGACATAGAAATACTTCATAGACATACAGAAAGGCAGGCGATTCCTGGGTCTGTGTGAGGCGTGCTATAAATCGACATCAGCACAGGCTGCCTTGAATGATTTGCATTGATTAATGGGTTTCCTGTTCTTTCCTGTTTTGTCTGTTTTTTTGTTTTCTCTCTTCTGTTCCCTATATTCTATTTCATTTGGCGGTTTGGGCCTCTGGGAATGCCTTTTTCTTCTTCGTCTCTCTGCATCTTCCCCCCATTTCCTTTGTCCTCTTTCCCCTCCATGAGCAGTGGCCGCATCCATTACACTGAGATGTATGAAATGCTGACTCTCATGTCCCCACCACTAGGCCTCGGCAAGAGATGTCCCTCCAAAGTTGCTTATAAGGTAGAACAACCCTTCTTTCCTTTACGGGCTACTGATCAGCAAGAAATGGGAAAGGCATATCATGGGAAAAATGGGGTGGTGGGAAGAGCTTACCAACAAGTAAGCTGCTTGGGCCTTTTCAAGTTGATTTGCTTTCAAGACAAACTGTGTTCGCATCTTAAATGTTTAAAAATTGCTACTCATCACTAACATGGAATGGCAGCACTGCCATTACTTGAGCGGATAGTGTGGTAGTCAGCAGACGTTGGATGTCAGGTGGTAAATTTCAATATAGGAAATGCAGAACGCATAGGTAGTATGGTAGTATATGTAGTAGGCATGTGCAATCCATGGTTCTAAAGTACTTACAAAACTGGTGGTGAAAACTAGGGGGTGCTGGTGCTTTGGTTCCACAGTGTTGCTAACTGTTGCGACCCAGAGCAGGAAACTGGACCCTCAGACAACAATCCACCACACTTGACTTCAGGAAAAACAATCCTTTTTTATTGAAGAAAGATGGGTACAAAAATAGAGGAAATACGCAAGGTGAAAAGCCACAGTAAAAATCAGCAACAAGAAATGTCCATGAACAAGATCAAAAACCCACAGTAACACTGCTAAATCCTGGAACCTGTTAGCAATCCAGGTCTGAAGATGCAACCAGGCGAGAGGTACTTAATAGGCTTGTTTGATCGTGTTCACTAGTTTCTAAAGTCATTATTAATTCGTATTTAAATTAGCTTACGATCCAATATCGAGCCATGCAGGAATAGTGTAAAGAGTAATTAAGAATCGAAACATTTTTTCCAAATTTTCGTAATTATTTCGTAATTATTTCGTAATTATTAAGACGGGAAAGAAGGAGAGAAAAGGTGCCAGCGTTGCCTTTCCTCCCCATCCTCCTCCTCCTCCTCCTCCTCCTGGAGATATTTTATTATCTTATTACTTATTTTATTATTTTTTATTATTATTTTATTATTTTATTAATTTTAAGTGATTTTAATTTGTATTTTTACTAACTTAATGTATTTTAATTTCATCCTGAATTTATTTTAATTTGGTTTCTGTTAGTTGTAAGTTTTATCACCAACAGTCAGCAACAGAGGGAGAGGGATGCTTCAGAAGTTCCCCCTGTCCCGTTTGGAGGTGTTTTTAGCGCATTGCGCAATTGCGTCCGCCATTAACGAATCGATTCGTAATTAACTAAATTTCGTAAATTTTGAAATTTTGAAATCTTAAATTTCGGAAGTCCTCAGAAATTCGAAACGCTGGTGCCCCCTGGAAACGAAGCGAGTTTAGAACCAATTTTTTACTTAATCAAACAAGCCTAGTACTTAAGGCCAAGAAATCTATTACGTGACACGCCTGCAGGCTTTGTTTGCATTTCTCTCAGTCTAGCTGACCTTCGTAAACTTTGAGATTCTCCCCTGCTCTGCCAAATCTGCCCTCTCTTATCCTCATTAGAGAGACCAGGTGTCAGGTTCTCTGGAGAGCTAAGACTGGGAAGAAAAGGGAGTGAAAGTTCATTGCTTGGCTTTGAAATATTCTCATGAGAATTTGGACTTTCACTTTCCAAGGCTGCAGGAGTTTCACTACACAAACCGTCATCTTCTACATTGCCCTCAGAATCAACATCTTCATTAGCATCATTAGCATCAGGAAATACAATCAGAGAAATAGGTTCAGGTTCACACACAGGCTGAACCCCAACACTAAAGTTCTGGTGGTGAAAATTTCAGAACTCTTAACAAAACTTTCAAAATTTCATTATTATTTCATTATTGGTGGTTTTTATGACAGAACCTACTGGGAACTGCCATTTATAATGAAATTTTGAAAGTTGTGTTAGAGTTCTGAAAGTTTCACCACCAGAACTTTAGCAACACTGTGGAAGCAAAGCACCAGCGCCCCCTAGTTTTCACCACCAGAACTTTAGTTTTGTAAATAGTTTAGAACCATGGATTGCACATGCCTAATATGTAGTATAGACTGAAGAAGAAAAAACAGAATGTAATGGAGAGGTGCTCCTTAGGACTAGATCTGAGGTGGGCAACTGTGTCAAGCTTGGGTTACTGACTGGACACCCAGGGAAATTCCTCCATGTCCCCAAAGCACATTTTGGAAGAAAAGTTTTCAAAAAAAATGTCACACTCAAAAATATATATTTTAAAAAAACACTTCAAGGGACTCAGTTCGGGCTCCCGACATGGTGAAAAATGTCCTATACTCTCCCTAGAGAGAATTCTGAGGCATTCTGGTGCAATGTATTGTTGAAGGCTTTCATGGCTGGAATCACTGGGTTGTTGTAGGTTTTTTGGGCTATATCGCCATGTTCTAGAAGCATTCTCTCCTGATGTTTCTCCTGAGGATTGTTGTAGGTTTTTTCGGGCTGTATGACTATGTTCTAGAGGCATTCTCTCCTGATGTTTCGCCTGCATATAGGGCAAGCATCCTCAGAGGTAGTGAGGGAACCTCTGAGGATGCTTGCCATAGATGCAGACGAAATGTGAGGAGAGAATGCTTCTAGAACAGGGCCATATAGCCCAAAAAACCTACAACAACCTAGAAGCATTCTCTTCTAATGTTTTGCCTGCATCTATGGCAAGCATCCTCAGAGGTTGTGATGATGCTTGCCATAGATGCAGGTGAAATGTCAGGAGAGAATGCTTCTAGAACATGGCTATATAGCCCAAAAAACCTACAACAAACCTCATTCTGGTGCATTTTTTTCTTATTTTTCTTTCTTATGTTTCCTCCCTTTCTTTCTTGGTGGCCCTAAAGACCACAAAACCAAACTTATGGCGTGTGTGCAGCCCAAAGGCCACACTTTATCCCTTGAATTAAACACTTGTGAAGAATTTTTGATATATGGTACAGTTATTGAATCATATAAGCTCTAATGGTCTGGAGACTTTTGTTCAGAGGCAGAGCAAATGTTCCCTTTCTATAAAATCCCAGATTCCATTTTAAAATTCCAGTTAAATAGCTCAGTTACTGGGGATAGAAATTCTTCCCCTCTGAAAACATGGTACGCAACTGTGATTTAAAGTAGATGTTACTGAGTTGGATTTTTTTTTGTCATGTCAGGAGTGACTTGAGAAACCAAGCCGCTTCTGGTGTGAGAGAATTGGCCGTCTGCAAGGACGTTGCCCAGGGGACGCCTGGATGATTTGATGTTTTATCATCCTTGTGGGAGGCTTCTCTCATGTCCCTGCATGAGGAGCTGGAGCTGATAGAGGGAGCTCATCCGCCTCTCCCCAGATTCGAACCTGTGACCTGTCGGTCTTCAGTCTTTAAATTTTTAAAGCAAAACAACTGCCTGCCGATTACAAAGAGAGAATATGGGAAGAGACTCTTAACGAAAAAGCAGTGCAGTCCCTGTATTGTCGGAGGCTTTCATGGCCGGAATCACTGGGTTGTTGTAGGTTATTTTTTCAGGCTGTACGGCCGTGTTCTAGAGGCATTCTCTCCTGACGTTTCGCCTGCATCTATGGCAAGTATCCTCAACAACCTACAACAACCCAGTACAGTCCCTGTTTGACCTAATGTACATGTGAGGATGGATAGATGAAGGTCACATCTAGTAAAAAGGATGTTGACATGAGTTGTTGTAGGTTTTTTCGGGCTATATGGCCATGGTCTAGAGCAGTGGTTCTCAACCTTCCTAATGCCACGACCCCTTAATACGCTTCCTCATGTTATGGTGACCCCCAACCATAAAATTAGTTTCGTTGCTACTTCATAACTGCCATTTTGCTGCTGTTATGAATAGTAATGTAAATATCTGATATGCAGGATGTATTTTCATTCACTGGACCAAATTTGGCACAAATACCCAATACACCCAAATTTGAATACTGGTGGGATTGGGGAAGGGTATTTGTCCTGTGGGAGTTGTAGTTGTTGGGATTTCTAGTTCACCTACAATCAAAGAGCATCCCGAACTCCACCAACAATGGAATTGAGTCAAACTTGGCACACAGAACTCCCATGACCAACAGAAAATACTGGAAGGGTTTGGTGGGCGTTGACCTTGAGTTTTGGAGTTGTAGTTCACCTACATCCAGAGAGCACTGTGGACTCAAACAATGGTGGATCTGGACCAAATGTGGCACAAATTCTCAATATGCCAAAATGTGAACACTGATGGAGTTTGGGGGAAATAGATCTTGATATTTGGGAGTTGTAGTTGCTGGGATTTATACTTCACCTACAATCAAAGAGCATTCTGAACCCTACCAACAATTGAATGGGCCAAACTTCCCACACAGAACCTCCCTGACCAACAGAAAATACTGTGTTTTCTGATGGTCTTTGGTGACCCCTCCGACACCCCCTGGTGACCCCTCCAGGGGTCCCGACCCCCAGGTTGAGAAACACTGGTCTAGAGGCATTTTTTCCTGATGTCAGGAGAAAATGCCTCTAGACCATGGCCATATAGCCCGAAAAAACCTACAACAACTCAGTGATTCCGGCCATGAAAGCCTTCGACAATACACAGGATGTGGACATGTTTATCAAGTTGAAATCTTCCAAGTTGGCCTCTAAAACATGGCCATACAGCCCGGGAAAACCTGCAACAACCCAGTACAGTCCCTGTTTGACCTAATGTACATGTGAGGATGGATAGATGAAGGTCACATCTATTAAAAAGGATGTTGACATGTTTATCAAGATGAAATCTTCCAAGTTGGCCTCTAGAACATGGCCATACAGCCCGAAAAAACCTACAACAACCCAGTACAGTCCCTGCTTGACCTGATGTACATGTGAGGATGGATAGATGAAGGTCACATCTAGTAAAAAGGATGTTGACATGTTTATGAAGTTGAAATCTTCCAAGTTGGCCTCTAGAACATGGCCATACAGCCCGAAAAAACCTACAACAACCCAGTACAGTCCCTGTTTGACCTAATGTACATGTGAGGATGGATAGATGAAGGTCACATCTTGTAAAAAGGATGCTGACATGTTTATCAAGTTGAAATCTTCCAACTTGGAAGCTGCAGATCAGGTTCTTGGTACACATGGCATGAAATGTAGCTGTGGGTGGGTGAGAGAATACGCACTGCTCAACTCTAACGGTGTAATCCTATTATGTTACCCAGTTGCAAACAAACAAAACTTCAGAAATGTACGTCCTTGACATTTTAGTTTGAATGCTACAAGGACGGTTAAACAATAATCTTAAGTGTAATTATATTGGATTGGCAGTCTATTACTTTATTCAGGATTTACCGAAGGATAGATTATCTTCATTTTTTTTCCATGATAGCTGTTACTTGCACTTGACTCTACATGTTCCCAGAATCACATGGTCTTTTTATCTCCTGTTTATGTATATGGAAGCCTGTTTACTGTTTGAGCCTCGAATGATGCTGAATGCGTGGTGCTTCCAAAAGTGCCCAGAATAAGGGTGGTGGGTACAGCAGTGATGAGTAACATAAGAATGCACAAAGCAATGTATACTCTCTGGGAAGTGGATTTGGCCATTTCATTTCCCCATTCTGGGGGAAAAGGAGCATGACCCACCCACTCCTGCCTTGGTCATTAGTTTCTCTTCATTTGCATTTTTCTCCCACTTCTTCAACCTCAAACAAGTTGGAATCATTGCATGGCAATCATGTGCTGCCAAATGTAAACTTTAAAAGAACCTCAAAAAGGGGGCGCCAGGATGTAGCTGGGTGAGAGGTTAAAAGAGCCCAGAATCTGAATCAAATCCAACAATTTCTAGATGCAATCAAACCAAAAACAAACAAAATGAAAATGGCTCTGTATTGAAGATGCAGAAGACCCCTGGGGCCGTCTCTCCTTGCAAGTCAGTAAAAAGACACGTCTTGATAAAATGACTAAAATAACAAAAGCCAGCACATGAAAAGGGGACTGTGATGTGAATTGGGAGGACGGAGGGGGCGATCCTTGCCCTCCTTTTTGGATATGCTGTTTTATGCATTCTAAGCCTTTTTCCTCGTGTTTCCCTGATACGTTTTCCGATGCTGTTTTTGCCTGCTTCCCCTCCCTGACCCCCACTCTCTTGTGCAGAGACTGGTCCTGATGAATATGCCTGTGGCTGAGGACAACACTGTCCATTTCACTTCCACTTTGATGGCCTTGATCCGAACAGCTCTGGATATTAAGATTGCAAAAGGTAAAATAGCAAGTTGGGGGCAGGGGAGCCAGAAATGTCAGAGAAAGGCCACAGTAGTTGCCAATTAAGAAATTTGCCAAGACTGTTGAAAAACCTGAATGTTCAATGGCGAGAATAAACCTTCCTGGTGGTTTAATAACCTTTATGCTTTTGAATAATTTGTGTTAAGACAAATGCTACATTTTAAGAGTTTAAGACATAGAGTGTACCTTTCCTTTCCATATAGTGCATCTATTTTCCAGGGACAAACACTGATAAACTAGTTATATGGATGTTCAGAATGAATGCTTATTTCTTTTCTATACTATCTATCTATACTATACTATCTCTTTTAGGTATCTGTTGCGCAGTGTGCATACTATCACTGACCTTCTGATCCATACATTCACTATGGGTGTCAAGGTCAGACGCCAGCCAGTTAAAGGAGTATAGTTTATTGTTCAAACAGACACAGAATTAGTCCAAAACAAAATCACAGGGCAAAAAACACTTAGTTTGCAGTGTGAAAAAGCCCAAACAGGCAAAAAGACACGAAAAACTCCCAACAGAATATAATCTGGATTCACCAGAGATAAAACTTGAATGCTTAAATGCAGCCTTTCAAGAATTGTAAAAGAAACTCAAGCTTCAAACACAGCAGGAACTGAAATGCAGGAATGTGGTCGACGCCAGCTCCAGACGCTCAGCCGTAGATGTGGAGGAGAGAGAATAACGATAAGGAACGAAGTCCAGTTCGGTCTGATCCAAAGAGAAACAAAACAGCTGCCAGGTCAGGTCCCAATACGATGAGTAAACACAAGGAGCCAAAGCAGTGGGGCAATGCGGCAGCTAATGCAAACATCAAAACAGTGCAGTCCAGCAAAAACCCACACAGTTCCAGCCCCCTTTGCTGCTAAAGCCCAGAGCATAACTTACGTCCCAAAGTCTTCTTTCAAACCCGTCTTCTGTAGCAAAGATCCATAAAGCGCCCAACCAGACTCCTTGCCGATTGCAAGGTTACAATAGCAAACACTCCCCTTTTTATTACAAGTCCTCATCAGAGCTTGATTCAGCCAACACCCGTGTCCCAGCTGTATCGTGTTGCAGCTCCTCATCCGAACTGGAGTCGCCCCTAGTTCGGCCCAACCCATTCCCAGCTGTGCCTCTTCCACCACTCCTCCAAGTAGTCCATCTCTGGTCTAATCCTGAAGGTCCCCAAGTCCCATCCAAGTCTTCACTATTCCAACCCTCAAATGTGTCACTGCTTGTGGGTTCAGCACAAATATCTTGAATCTCCCGAACCCTTGTCCAATCCATCCCATCAGACCCAGAATCTGATATCCCATCATCCAGTTCATTTGCCTCAAAACCCTCAAAAGAATCCTCATCTGTTGGCTCACTAAGTATCTCCCGGATTCTTTTCCTTTGTTGCTCTTCATCATAGTCTTGCTCGCAAGTAGTTTTCCTGCCTCTCCTACTACAACTAGTGTTACTATCACTGCCAGCAGACTCTATCACAACAATGGGTGCTTCCAGACAGGCCCCAAAATGCGGGGCCTGTTAGGCTTTTACCAGAGGCATCCAAACAACGCCTCCGGTAAAAGCAAATTAATTCGGGACAATTAATTAGATAGCCCATTTGATCTGGACTTTCCTGAAAGGACTGGGTCTAATGAGGTATTGGGCCTGTGGATCCCCACAATAACCTTAAGTGTAATTGTATAGGATTAGCAGTCTATAACTTTATTCAGGATTTACTTAAGGATAGATTATCTTCATTTGTTTCATGACAACTGTTACTTGCACTTGACTCTACATTTTTCCAAAATCATATGGCCTTTTTATCCCCTGTTTATGTATATGGAAACCAGTTTACTGTTTGGACCTTGAATGATGCTGAATGCATGGTGCTTCATTAGACCCGGGCTTTTCAGGAAAGCCTGGATCTAAAGGGGTCTCCAATTAATTGTTCCAAATTAATTCACTTTTACCAGAGGCGTTTTGATCTATCTTAATAGCTAGGATTCTGATATATTTATTTACCACATTTATATCTCACCCTTCTCAACCCCGAAGGGGACCAGGGTGGCCTTATAAAGGCAACAATTCAATACCATATATTAATACATCGTTAAATAAACAAAAACATTGTCTCTTTATCACTGAGAGATAGAGAAGACTCCTACCTCCAACCTGTGGAAATGCTTGGACTCAGCAAGAGCCTGTGTTACTCCTAGCCCAGTCCCCAAAGCCCAATGTGACAAAGAACCAATCCATTCCCTATGCATCATTCATCGGTTCTAGACTTAAGAGAAAGGCACGGGCTTGATCTGCTGTCACACTGAGTTTCAGAGACACCATACATTTATCCATTTAAAAGGCATTATTGCCTCGCATCAGTGCGTTGCTGGGAAACTTCTGGTTGTTGTGACTATACTGAACCTTTTCCATTTCTTCTGCCTTTACTACTTCTGCTCAATGAACAGAGTGTTAAGTTTGGGCCAGATTCACTATGGTTCAAATTCATCCTTTGTCTTGAGGTTCATTGTGTGGCCTTCTATCAAGTCATCCAGTTTACTTTTCTGGCCAGATGGACTGTTGTAAGAGCAAAAAGACTTCTTGACAGAAAGCTGGGCAATGTCATAGACCAATGAGAGAACATCCATTTTCCATGCAGAACTTCTCGGGTAGAGCTAGGATATGGCAACAAAGCAAAATATAATTCCCAGTGTCTTCCTCTGAAATATCATCTACAGTACCTAGTTTTTGTTGACTGCCTCCTATTCAAGTATTAACCAAGGTTGACCTTGTTTATCTTTCAAGATCTGGTGCATTTAGGATTATTTAGACCATCCCGACCTCAGAAAACTCTATGCAGGTCACCATAGGTCAACAGGCAACCCGAAAGCACAAAAATACAAAACGCTAGGAAGGAGTCTTGGCTGCAATCCTGAAGAACCCTGGAAGATGTTGACAGTGAAGATGGTTTATGCTACACAATAATGTTATTATGCAGCTGGACAAAATGGGGAGTCTGGCTGTCCCCTGGCCGACGTCTTTTTTCCTGCTTTCTTTCAGGCGGTGCGGAATGGCAGCAGCTAGACTCAGAGCTCCAGAAGGAGATTCTGACCATCTGGCCTCACCTTTCACAGAAGCAGCTAGATGTATTGGTACCCATGCCAAAAAGTAAGTCATTTTTAGGTTGTCCTGGTTTTTATTGAAGCAGATATTTCACACAAATTATGTTTGGTAAAATAGTTCGGGAGGTTGCAGTATTTGTTGCTGTAGTTCCAGAGTTTTGTGAAATATTCAGTGTTTATCTTCTTTAAGCCCCACAAAAAGGCTTGATGTCCTAGAACAACTAGATGCAGATGTGACAATCGGGAACCTGGAAAAGCTAAGGAGCGATATTGCAAAAAAGTACACTTCTTTTGACAAGTCCCCAAAAGACCTTTGAGTGTGCTGCATTTGTAGTTGTGAGTCAGGAAACCATACTTAAAAACAAGAACACACAAATATTAGAATAACATTCCAAAACCTTATATTATTTTCACGGACTGGTAACCTTCTGTGTTATAATACTATGGCCATGTAGTTTAAGGCTATGGCCATGTGCTGTTTATATAGTATGTAGGGTGGGGATCAAATTGATGTGAGTTGTGTAGCTCTCAGTAGCATCACTTTGCTCATCCTCTACACTAATAGAGAACAAACACATCACTGCTTCCTTGAAAGCCATGGCCGACAAATTCAGAGCCATCCTAGAAAATATATACACTTTCTCTTTCTCTGTTCCACATTATTAGGAGCCTTTGGTGACACAATGGGTTAAACCCTTGTGTTGGCAGGACTGCTTGACCAAAAGGTTGGCAGTTCGAATCCGCAAGATGGGATGAGCTCCCGTCTGTCAGCTCCAGCTTTTCATCTGGGGACTGCTTGACTGAAAGCTTGGCAGTTCGAATCCGTGAGACGGGATGAGCTCCTGTCTGTCAGCTCCAGCTTTTCATGTGGGGACTGCTTGACTGAAAGGTTGGCAGTTCGAATCCGTGAGACGGGATGAGCTCCTGTCTGTCAGCTCCAGCTTTTCATGTGGGGACATGGGAGAAGCCTTCCACAGGATGGTAAAACATCCAGGAGTCCCCTGGGCAACATCCTTGCAGACAGCCAATTTTCCCGCACCAGAAGTGACTTGCAGTTTCTCAAGTTGCTCCTGAGATGGAAAAAAAAGGAACTTATGGAGAAAGGAAGAAACATTTCTGGAAGTATTGAGACTTTATCCTTGTCACACCATTTGGAACTGCAACCTTGTCCTGAATTGAATCTAATTCCTTTCTTGAAATACGCCGGGTTTCCTTCCCTTATGTTTTTCCTCCTCTCTCTCTCATTGATTACACGCCACATCTAGATTCAGCCAATGTTTGAGAAATGGGTTTCAGCTATTTCCACAGAGCCTTCTTTATTATAATTCAGAAGTTATAGCCAAAGTGCTAAATTTCTGTCATAATATTCAATTAGTTGAGCGTTAGAATAATTTGATTTGATGCAAACACCCCCTTTTTCAGGTTTGCTGTGAATTTTTTGGGGCTGTATGGTCATATTCCAGTAGCATTCTCTCTTGATGTTTCACCTGCATCGGAGTCCCCGGTGCCGCAGTGGGTTAAAGCCCTGTGCCAGCAGGACTGAAGACCGACAGGTCACAGGTTCGAATCCAGGGAGAGGCGGATGAGCTCCCTCTATCAGCTCCAGCTTCTCATGCGGGGACATGAGAGAAGCCTCCCACAAGGATGATAAAAACATCAAAATCATCCGGGCATCCCCTGGGCAATGCCCTTGCAGACGGCCAATTCTCTCACAACAGGATGCTCCTGACACGACAAAAAAAAAAACCTGCATTTATAGCAGGCAAAGCTCTGAGGATGCAGATGAAATGTCAGGAGAGAATGCTACTGAAACATGGCCATACAGCTCCAAAACTTGCAGCAACCCAATTATTCTGGCCACAAAAGCCTTCAACAACACATCCCTCTTTTCCTTTCTTGTCCTGTGTTGAACTTGTGTTCTAGAAAAAAAAAATAGTCATGTTTTACTGGCAGTGGCCGGTTTCAGAAAACGCAAAAAATACTGCAAAGGTGAGAAACATTTCATTTAGGAGAATAATGGATTGATTTAAACTACATGGAAAATAAAATGAAAAGTTCTTGATAATATCAAGAGCTCTTGGAAATATTTCAGGATGAAGAAACTGCAGTGTGAACGTTCAAAACAAAATCAGTTTGTATAGGCATGAAATCTGGGACTTTCAGATATATTTTTTTCCTTGTCTGGAGGGTCCCAGAGTTGTATTTGAGTATAAGGTACAGCTTCCTTCATTGCCATACAATAAATTACTGTCCTGTTTTCAAAAATCTGTTGTCACATCAAAAAGATCTATTTAAATGCTACTTTTTTCTTAACCTCCAGCTACAGACTTGACAGTTGGGAAAATCTACGCAGCCATGATGATCATGGACTACTATAAGCAAAGTAAAGCTAAGAAACAAAGGCAACAGCTGGAAGAACAGGTATTATTCCACCATATCAGCACAGGTTACCTTGCTGCATTGCAGATTAAAGTGGAATATTATAATTTGTTGGAAACTGGATTTGAATGAGGAAAGGACCGTGGGACAAGAGTTGTTCTTGCTTGTAATCGATGCTTGAAACTTGCCCTAACTATTGATTTCTACAATAATTTGTAATTATCTGCCTAATTGTTGTGCATATATTTTGCTCTTCTTCCAAGAAGCTCGGATTAGCTAATTTATTTATTTATTTATTTATTTATGTAAAACTGTTATATCCCGATCTTCTCCACCTCCGTAGAGGGACTCTGACCAGCTAACAGCAAAAATTCAATGCCAAATACACTCTAAAACAGTGGTTCTCAACCTGGGGTCCCCAGATGTTTTTGGCCTTCAACTCCCAGAAATCCTACCAGCGGGTAAACTGGCTGGGATTTCTGGGAGTTGTAGGCCAAAACACCTGGGGACCCACAGGTTGAGAACCACTGTTTTAAAACATCATACAAACAATAAAAGGCTAAAATACAAATAGATTTAAACATATATGCCAGGTTGCCAAGATAAAATCATGTCGAGTTCGGTCCGTATATGTGATCAGTAACTTTAGTTTATTGCCGGTCTCAGCCCTTATTCCAGGAATGCTTCTTTCCATAGCCAGGATTTCACTAGCTTCCTGAAGGTCAGAAGGGAGGGGGCAGATCTAATCTCAGTTGGGAGAGAGTACCATAGCCGAGGGGCCACCACAGAAAAGGCCCCGTCTCTCGTTCCCACCAGACATGATTGCGAAAGTGGTGGGACCAAGAGCAGGGCTCCTCCCAAAGATTGTAACAACCTTGATGGTTTATAGGGGAGAATACGTTTGGACAGGTAAACTGGGCCGGAACCGTATACGGTTTTGTAGGTCACCACCAGCACTTTGAATTGTGCTCGGAAGCTAATTGGCAGCCAGTGGAGCTGGCGCGACAAAGGAGTTGTGCACTCCCTGTACCCCGCTCCCGTTAGTAACCTGGCTGCCGAACGTTGGACTAATTGCAGCTTCTGAGCAGTCTTCAAAGGCAACCCCACATAGAGAGCATTGCAGTAATCTATACGGAATGTAACCAGAGCGTGGACCACCGTGGCCAAATCAGACTTCCCAAGATACGGGCACAGCTGGTGCACATTTTAACTGTGCAAAAGCTCTCCCGGCCACCGCCGAGACCTGGGGTCCCGGGCTCAGCTATGAGTCCAGGATCACTCCCAGGCTAAGCCTGTCAAGCACAGGCTGTAACCCTATGCCCTGTTCGGCCTTTCAACTGACCAGGAGTACCTCTGTCTTGTCTGGATTTAGTTTCAATTTCTTCGCCCTCATCCAGTCCATTACAGCGGCCAAGCACCGGTTCAGAACTTGAACAGCCTAGTTTACATGCAGTCCGCAGAATGCTTCCCATCCAGAAAGTACACAGAGCAGTGATGGCACCCAAGTGGAATATGAGCCAGAGGAGATCACGTAGGAATAATATGCTACAATTATGTTTTCTTTAAATAACTGCTGGTGCCTAGCACAATTTCCTTAGGGTGCTACCTATGTAATATTTGCACACATTCATCAGCGAAACCATGGTGTATGTTTGGTTATCAGCTACAGCTGATACCAATTGACATGCTCAGAAATCAGCATCTTGATTCTACCTCCTTGTATCAAGAAATAATAGTAAAAAAAAAAAAAAGCAAGTTCAATAGAAATGTAGAAAATTGTACATTCATCCTGGATTTGAATTCATAAGAACCCATCTTACCTTCATCTCATCCTGATCCAGGAAAGATAATTTCTCAAATTCCAAACTTGGTGTTGTTTCTCACCCCTTCTCTCCTATATCATGTTAGTATAGGCCACTACTTCTTAAACTGTAGGTCCCAACCCCAAATGGGGTCCCCTTGTCTCAATGTTGGAGTCACAAAAGTTATAGCAACAGTAAAAGGTCACCCATTTACACAATGTCCATTTACACAAACAGCGCTCCATGGAGTCATGCTGGCCACATGACCTTGGAGGTGTCTACAGACAACGCTGGCTCTTTGGCTTAGAAATGGAGATGAGCACCAACCCCCAGAATCAGATATGACTGGACTTAATGCTCGGGGAAAACCTTTACCTTTACCTACACAATGTGCAGTATTTATAGTAGACTCCACAGAAAATGCTTCAGATGGACTCTGCCAAACGGAAAATTAGCCTGTTTCGCAAGACTTGCTAATGCTGATTTATTTTCAGTAGATGCTTGATTGTTATTCTTATTTTATATACCTATATACCTGAGGTCATATAAAAATTTATCTGGTGGAAAGGGTCATGAGTGGAGAAAGTTTAAGAAGCCTAGTATACATCACCCAGAATCAAACAAGAATTTGATGATTTACATGTCAGCCCTGTTTAAAAAAAACAGAGTGGGCTGAGGGGTTTTTTTTAACATCAAAAGATGAGGGTGAGATAGTCCCTCTGCCAGTATTTGACATTAATGTGTGGATTTCTCCTCCTCTGCAGTGTAATACTGTAAGGGAGCTAGACTGCTGGAGGAGGGAGGACAAGTATGATTTTTCCCCACATTCTTATCCAGATATACAGAAACACCACACACATCCTGTGGAAACTTACTGGCGGCACATGGGGTGCACACCCAAAATTAATAAGTGCATCAGCCCTAGCCCTGCCTTACTCAACTGCCGAGTATGCCTGCCCTGTTTGGCATAGGTCTGCCCATGCAAAGCAGGTGAACATAGCATAGAATGCAACATGCAGAATAACCACAGGATGTCTTAAACCTACACCTGTTGATAAACTCTACAAGCTAGCTGGCATCCTCCCCCCCTCCCTCGATGTGCGACGGGAAGTTGCTACTAAATGTGAGAGAAATAAGGTTGAACACTGTGAAAGCCACCCACTACATGGCTACCAGCCTCCTCCCAGTAGACTCAAATCGAGGAAAAGCTTTATGAGAACTACCACTCTTCATGGCGTCCCCCCAGCAACAGCAAGGGTATCCCTCTGGGCAGCTCGACCAGGAAACCCCAACTGGATGGCCCCCCCATGAGGGTCTTCCTCCAGGGGCAAACCAAGAATGGGCAACTTGGAAGTCCCTGAACAGACTCAGAAGTGGAGTGGGCAGATCAAAAGACAACCTGTCAAAATGGCACTATCTAAAAGAATCCCATACCTTGTGTGACTGTGGATCAGAAGAGACAACTCTGCATCTGTATGCTTGTCCACTATGCCCTGCCTCATGTACAGAGGAAGAATTGTTGGAGGCTACAGACAATGCCATTGCTGTTGCCCGTTTTTGGTCAAAAATATTTAGCCACCTGCGCTCCTTCTATTTTTATCAGTTTTATACTAATTTATGCAATGCTTTTGATACAAAATAAATAAATAAAACCACACACATACCTTTAGTTGTAAAATGAAGGCTATCCCATCCCATAACCTGGTATATAAGCAAATTGGGCAGGTATGAATAAGCCATGTGAATAAATATGAATTAGTCACTGCGGTTTTTCTTATCATGTCTAGTTTGATTCTTAATGTATGTTCAGTCAACTGTTCCTAAAAATGATGTGTTTTTTTCCCCCTTCTGTTTTGTAATTTAGAAAAATGCCCCAATGTTCCAGCGCATGGAGCCTTCCTCTCTTCCTCAGGAGATCATTTCTAATGCCAAAGCTTTACCTTACCTCCAGCAAGAAACCTTTTCAGGACTGTAAGTGTAGACGTTTGAGTCAGCAGCATGTTCACATTGACCTTTATATTACAGTTAAAGCCCTTAATAATGCTACCAGTGCAAAGATGTAATAAAAAGAACCAAATAATGGGGAAGAGATCCGAAACAGATCCAAATTTATATAAATAAATATGTAATTTTCGTTTGTGGATTAACATAACTCAAAAACCACTGGGCGAATGGACACCAAATTTGAACACAATACACCTCTCAGGTCAACGAGTGACCATCACTCATAAAAATACCGGAAAAGACAGTGGAAAAGGCTTTAAAAGACAAAAAACAAAAAACACATTTATATATATATGCGTAAACATACACATACACACACAAAACACATATACACATACTGGGTCACAGCAACGCATGGCAGGGGACGGCTAGTGTCTTAATAATAAACAACCCAGTGCATTTTCAGACTGGGGTTCTCAGCTTGGCATCAAATGATACCATCTTTAATGCTTACTAGGAATATGCATTTTTTAAAAAAATAATTGTTCTTCAACGCAAAAACAAAAAATCCTTTTTGTGCAGAAAAAAATGTGCAAAAAGTTGGTGAATATGTTTTACATGCCTAATGCTTACCAAGGTTTCTTGTCTCTATTTTTAAAAGACTTGGGAATGAGCCCAGATAGTGGGCAGCTACACATGACGAATTTTGTTTTGCTGATGGCAGAGCGGGATATTTGCTAAAACATTTTCCAAAAAGAGACGTAAAGGGGGAAAGGCAACCTATTTCTCCTTCTGTCCATCTGGTAAACTTGGGGTAGGGACGTGAAGTGGCCCAAAATTTATCAGACATTGGGAAAGCTGGTTGGAAAAGATGAGAACAACCAGCATACAGTTGGGAAAGAGGTCCATCTGATGAGGTCATATGAGGTCGTATGAGGCAGTGTGTGATCCAGAAAGAAGAATTTTTGTATGTGTTATAATGTGAGCTGAGTTGGAGAGAGATAAGGAGTCCCTTCTTCCAAATACGATTCTGTCATTGCAATTGCAATGCCGTAGCCACAGAAGCAACATCTTTAGTTTGTAGCCCTTCTACATTTGTTTATTCTTCCTTTTTCATACTAGAGAATGTTTGTTAAGGAAAACCTCAAGAATAGCTTTATCATAATTATTATTATTTATTTCTGGTATTTATATCCCGTTTCTTCTCTACCCCGAAAGGGGGACTCAGGACGGCTTACATAGGCAGCGATTCGATGCCGTTACATGAACAATTAATACAATAATCATTAAACAAAAACCATCAAACCATTAAAATACATAAAATACATAAGTCATTAATTTAACAGTATATAAACATAATTACCAATAAAACCGTATCCTCATGTAAATTGTCTTTCCAGTCCATTTCAACCAAAGTGCTGCTCTATGTCTGCTGACCAAAGGCCTGGTCCCACAATCATGATTTTATTTTCTTCCTGAAAGCCAGGAGGGATGGGGTTGATCGTACCTCATTTAGAAGCATGTTCCACAGGCAGGGAGCCACCGCCGAGAAGGCCCTGACCCTCGTCTCCACCAGTCGCGTTTGCGATGTTGGTGGAAGCGAGAGCAGAGCCTCCCCGGATGATCTTAGATTACGAGGTGGGACATAGAGGCAGGTGCATTCAGACAAGTAAGCTGGGCCAGAACCATATAGAGCTTTATAGGTCAAAACCAGCACTTTGATGTATTTGAGTTATGGTGGTAGGAGGTTGAAGTTTGGAAACACCCAAAATATGGAGAATGACCCCCAAAAGAGAGACCTGTTGCTAAATATTGTGTTTTGCAAGCATTTTTTTCTGTTGTGGATAAGTTTATTTATTTGTTTGTTTGTTTGTTTAAAACATTTATATTCCACCCTTCTCACCCCGAAGGGGACTCAGAGTGGAGCACAGCATATATACGGCAAACATTCAATGCCGGGACAAGAATTCATTATATGCATACATAAACATTGAAATATTAAACATTAATATAAACATTAAACATTAACATGGGCTGGTCTATGACGTCACGAAGAATCGGAAACGACTGAACGAATGAACAACAACAACAGACATTAAAAACATTTATCTCAATATTAAAATACACTGTTTAAACCATCTTGGTCGTCTTGGTTCCAAATTATGACCTGCATTCAGATTCATGGGCACATTATCATGACTTCTAGTTTCACCAGCTGGCCTTGCTGTGAAATTGTCATCAGTCTTTTAAAAAAAAATGGTCATCAGTCTTTTTAAAAAAGTGGAAGGTATCTGATTTAAGGTATAGGGCAGTTATTAACACAGTACTAACAACAGTACTAACAACAATGTATTTTACTATGGAGAGGCCCATAATATTCCTTAAATGGGATGGAGAAAACACAGAACTGGAAACTATTTCTAGTTAAGAAAATTATATTTATTTATTTATTTATTTATTTATTTATTTATTTATTTGGAACTTTTATATACCGGTCTTCTCGACCTCCGGAGAGGGACTCAAGCTGGTTTACAAGAAAAATTCATAAACAATAGTTTAAAACATCACATCCCATAATACAGTAATACATAAAATACATTAAAAAGCAAACATATAATTACATAAGGCCAAGTCGTCAAAATGAAATCACAATTCATCACCGTCCGTCCGTGTGGTCAAGGTTTGTTGACTCACTCATCAAATGCTAAATTCCAGAGCCAAGTTTTCACCAGCTTTCTAAAAGTCAGGAGAGAAGGGGCAGTTCTAATCTCCAGTAGGAGAGAGTTCTGGAGCCGAGGGGCCACCACCGAGAAGGCCCTGTCCCTCGTCCCCACCAGACGCAATTGCGAAGGCGGTGGGACCGAGAGCAGGGCCCTTCCAGAAGATCGTAACAACCTTGATGGTTCATAGAGGAGAATCCATTCAGACAGGTAAACTGGGCCGGAGTCGTTTAGGGATTTATAGGTCAACACCAGCACTTTGAATTGTGCTCGGAAGCTAATTGGCAGCCAGTGGAGCTGGCGCAACAGAGGAGTAGTATGCTCAGAGGAGTAGTATTAAATACCTAGGTATACTTACTGCTCTTTTCTGATTCCACCTTCAAAGTTTCCCAGTCATAATTTATGGCAGTATTATCTGTGTATGTGTGCTGGTTCAGATATGGAGAGAAAAAACGTTGACTGCATTTTTCAAACTGAAACCTAGGAATAACTCGGAATAAAAATATCTCTCAAAGAACCACCTACATGTTCAAAACTTCCTCCCTGTGTAGAATTTACCCATAGTCAGGACACTGGAAAGATTTCATTGCTTCAGTCCTTACTGAACTAGATTTGGCCTGTCAGCCATCACCAAATGTTACGTAAGGACTAAGATCCCAGCACTATTTGCTGAAACTGCATATTGATATCATTAGTCACAAGTTTTGAGATGGTTGTTCTGCTGATGTCCTTATTTCTGGTGCTTTCTCCCTTCTATACAATCCAGGTAAAATAAAAGCCCTATCAAATTAAAATGTATAAACTTTTTTTTTAGAAAGTCTTAAAATTAAAAACCTAGTATGCCAGGCCATTCAAACACACCTTCCATATTTGGTGAAAATCTGTTGTGTGTGTGTGATGTATCATGATAGCAGTAAAAATGAAATTTCAGACTAGCAATGCAATATTCAAAAGGACTGGGGGAGAAAAGCATTGCATTAATTGTTCTCCTAAGTTATGCATCTGGCAAACTTTCCTATGAAAATAATATCACAAAACAGGCATCCCCACTAAGAAGACACTATTTGTAATATAAGATATTTACTTTTGATACCCTATACACTAGGGATCTAAATAATAATAATAATAATGGAGCCCCCGGTGGCGCAGTGGGTTAAAGCCCTGTGCTGGCAGGACTGAAGACCAACAGGTCGCAGGTACGAATCCAGGGAGCACGGATGAACTCCCTCTATCAGCTCCAGCTCCTCATGCCGGAACATGAGAGAAGCCTCCCACAAGGATGGTAAAAACATCAAAACATCCGTGGTCCCCTGGGCAATGTCCTTGCAGACAGCCAATTCTCTCACACCAGAAGTGACTTGCAGTTTCTCAAGTCACTCCTGACACACAAAAAATAATAATAATAATAATAATAATAAACTTTATTTATACCCCGTTCCATCTCCCCCAGGGGGACTCGTGGCAGCTTACATGAAGCCACGCCCATCAGTATGATCAGGCCCGTAGCCAGGATTTTGTTTCGGGGGCGCTGAGTCCAAGTGAAAGAGGGTCTACCCTAGCAAACTTTTTGTATTGTTACTCCCATTATATGGGATATATTGAGATGGTGATCAGATCATGATATGAATAAACATAACAGTTTAAATAATGCACCAGTAAGGCCGTTTCGCGAAGAGAATTTCGGGGGGGGTGAAGCCCCTCAAGCCCCCCCTCCCCCCGGCTACATGCTTGAGTACAATAAACATAATATTACACAAAAGCATAACAAAACCAGAAAATAAAATACATAAAATGCAAAACCAATATAATAGATGACACAGCAATATAAAATCACAAAAACACAAAAGAATTACACTGGGCAGGGCCAAATTCAAAAATAAAATTTTAAAACACTGGGAGATAGGACAATGTAAAATTGTCGGGAAGGGGGAACCGGGAATGAGGAAGGATTTAATTGCACAAACCATAAAATAAAGTGCTTCTGAGGTTATTTTATCCAAAGTTTGGTCAGGGAGTGTCTTACATTCAATCATTGAAGGCACATTGGAATAACCAGGTTTTCAGGTTCCTCCTGAAGACTGCCATAGTGGGGGCTTGCCTGATATCTCTGGGGAGCGAATTCCAGAGCCGAGGGGCCACTACATAGAAGGCCCTCTTCCTCATCCCCACCAGTCGCGTTTGCGATGGAGGTGGGAGCAAGAAGACCTCTCCGGAAGATAGAAGAGGTCATGTGGGTTCGTAGACAGAAATGTGGCCACACAGGTAGGCGGGTCCCAAACCATTCAGGGCTTTGTAGATCAAAACCTGCACCTTGAATTGGGCCCGGAAAATACATGTCAGCCAGTGGAGCTCCTTAAACAGGAGGGTTGACCGCTCTGTGTAATTTGCACCAGTTAATAATCTGGCTGCTGCCTGTTGTACCAATGGATTTGTTACACATCGTGCCAAATCCATGGTCTCCCAGTGGGGGGCATGGAGAACACATTGCTCTATGCCCCACGTTGTGTGACTTACTATGACCCCCATCCCATGTCCATCCTGTAATGGGCTATGTCGTGAAAGGGGAGAACAAGCGTCGTATGACAGTCTAAGTAGCCCATCTGATGAGGTTGCAGATCTCTACAGTTATGGTGTTCCTAGAAAGTGTAATTTCTCATTATGAAGCCTAGCTTATAATGAAATAGGATTAGATTTTCTTTTCTGGAGATTCAGATAAATAACCAATAGAAGCAACACTGTGGTGATTTGTGATCTTGCATTTGAAATTGGATTATCCTTGCAGGAGCAGCCGGAGTGGGTTCCCCTCCTTGAGTCCACTCTCTCCCCAAGAGATATTCCAGTTGGCTTGCATGGACCCAACCCAAGGGGAATACCAGGAACAGCAATCTCTGGTAAATCAATGGGCTATTACAGATTACTCTTCCACTGACCTATTTTGTACTGCTGTCAGGAAGGTTTTTAAGGGGAATCCTTGAGGTATCTCGCAATTTCTTTTGCTTGATTTAACATCATATTCTACCTATACAAATAATTTGATTTATTCTATCTTTTCTCTCTCTTTCTTTGTAGATTTTATTTATTGAAAATATTCTGTCCTTGATAATGACAAATGATAGTATGATTATGATTATGGTTATTATTGACTTCACTTTTTTTCCTAATACAGGGACTGTGTATATGTTAAATTGGGGGGGGGGGATTCAGAGTGATGTCACAGGTCTCTCCCCCAACAAAATTATTTTTGTTGAACAGGAATCTTCCAATGCCACTGCCTGAGAGCTCCCCTTCTAGTAGAACCAGAGTCACTATAGAACATCCCAGTAAGTGGACCCAAAATGGTACCATGCTCAGTGTTATCAAAGGCAACCAAGAAGTCCAGAAGAACCAATAGGGACACACTTCTCTTGTTTAGTTACTGGTGTGGGTCATTCATTATAACAACAAAAGCTGTTTTCATCCCATGACCAGGTATGGAACCAGACTCAGATTGATCTAGATCTGTCTCACTCAGAAATGCCTGGAAATGAGAGGCTGCCATACAAACTGGTATTTTGCTGGAAAATAGAAAATTGGGGATTGTATTGTCGAAGGCTTTCATGGCCGGAATCACTGGGTTGTTGTAGGTTTTTCCGGGCTATATGGACATGTCTAGAGGCATTTTCTCCTGACGTTTCGCCTGCATCTATGGCAGATGTCACCACCTCTGAGGATGCTTGCCATAGATGCAGGCGAAACGTCAGGAGAAAATGCCTCTAGACCATGGCCATATAGCCCGGAAAAACCTACAACAACCCAATTGGGGATTGGTCAATCATTATCAATTGCATTATTATTCATTGATTTTTTTCTTCTTCAATACATGTCCCATAACCCACTCAACCATCCCCCTCTTGCCTGTTGGGTAAACTAAGAAGGACAAGGATCTAGTACATGTGTGGTGGTTTTTGGCCTGTCAAGAGTCCTAACTTCTTCTTGGACTGCACAAATTGGAAAGTACCCGAAATGATTGGACAAAGCAGAGTCCAGAGTTACATTCTGGAAGTAGGTTCAGCTATAAACTGCAACAAATCTGGACAATTTTATCTGGAAAGGCCAGATTCTCCACCACCTGCTAACATGGAAGCTGCCATCTGTTACTGTGCCCAATTCTTGTAGTGCACATTTGTCTAACTCTTCCTGAATGAAATGAGAGTAAATCAGGAAGCCAGGAACAGCTGAGTTGAAGGATGTTGGGCTACCAAATACTGAATTTAGAATCTGGATAAATCTGAATCAAGAATCTATAATGTTGAAATGCCTCATAGGGTATGAACAGCCTACAACAGTGGTTCTCAACCTGTGGATCCCCAGCTGTTTTGGCCTACAACTCCCAGAAATCCTAGCCAATTTACAAGCTGTTAGGATTTCTGGGAACTGAAGGCCAAAACATCTGGGGACCCACAGGTTGAGAACCTCTGGCCTAGAAGATTGTATCTACACTGTTATATAAAACAGTGTAGCATTCACATTAGCCTGGCTATAAGATTTTAAATCCAGATTTATCCCGTGTTAAAAATCCCAGCAAAGATCCAGATCTTTGTGGGTCCTTTAGCAGTGTAGACTACCAACTCAGATCACCATGTGCAATCTCAGATGGTGTCCCCACAGTCATCCCATGGTCTCCAGACTCAGGCAGCCTGGGGAGATGCCATGGCAGTGCCTTCCTTCCTCCACCCATTCCTGGTCCATCACTTCCTAATGACACCAGGATGAGTAACTATGGAAGCACAGACCCTGCAGAAAGAGTAGGGCATGCTTTTCTGCCCTTTCCTATAGGAATGGGATGCAGGGAAGATAGGAATATCAGTCAATGCCCAGCTGTGCTGAACTGGCATTGGCTTGGCTGGACTGTGTGGCTGGTCCCCCTTCTTCGGAGACAAAATAGAGTTTTGCATCTATGTGGAGACAAAATGCAGCTATGTGGAAGGGCCCAAGATGTTGGATCAGAGAAGACCCCTGAATTCAAGCAAGACCCAATCCAGTAGCACTCCTCCTGAAATGTCTTATCATACCATTTACTAGGAGTCTGTCACAGCTGCTCATGATATAACTATTGCTACCAGTTCTGTATAATAGATCTGGTAACCTTTAGAGGTTCTGCTAGATATTCAGCACCACCAATGAACACAATAGCCTGACTTTGCTGTCTTGTCACTACCACCCCCCCAAAAAAAAACTTCTAATAGACAGAGCCTTTTGAATGAGTGGTATCTGGGAGGACTACTTCCATACCACACCTGACTGTGGATCCCCAGGTAAACCCAAGTGAAATGGGAGAAGTTCCAGCAGATTGGAGGAGGGCCAATGTGGTCCCAATCTTCAAGAATGGAAAAAAGGAAGTGGTCTGCAAACACTTAGAAACAAATGCGGTCATCGCTAATAGTCAACATGGATTTATCAAAAACAAGTCACGCCAGACTCATCTGATCTCTTTTTTCGATAGAGTTACAAGCTGGGTAGATGCGGGGAATGCCGTGGATGTAGGCGTACCTGGATTTCAGTAAGGCCTTCGACAAGGTCCCCCATGACCTTCTGGCAAGGAAACTAGTCCAATGTGGGCTAGGCAAAACTACGGTGAGGTGGATCTGTAATTGGTTAAATGGACGAACCCAGAGGGTGCTCACCAATGCTTCCTCTTCATCTTGGAAAGAAGTGACGAGCGGAGTGCCATCAGCAGGGTTCCGTCCTGGGCCCGGTCCTGTTCAACATCTTTATTAATGACTTAGATGAAGGGTTAGAAGGCAGGATCATCAAGTTTGCAGACAACACCAAATTGGGAGGGATAGCCAATACTCCAGAGGACAGGAGCAGGATTCAAAATGATCTTGACAGATTAGAGAGATGGGCCAAAACTAACAAAATGAAGTTCAACAGGGACAAATGCAGGATACTCCACTTAGGGTGAAAAAACGAAATGCAAAGATACAGAATGGGGGATGCCTGGCTCGAGAGCAGTACATGTCAAAAAGATCTTGGGGTCCTCATGGACAGCAAGTTAAACATGAACCAACAATGTCATGTGGCAGCAAAAAAAGCCAATGGGATTTTGTCCTGGTTCAATAGGAGTATAGTGTCTAGATCTAGGGAAGTAATGCTACCTTGGTTAGACCACACCTGGAATATTGTGTCCAATTCCTGGCACCACAATTGAAGAGAGATATTGACAAGCTGGAATGTATCCAGAGAAGGGCGACTAAAATGATCAAGGATCTGGAGAACAAGCCCTATGAGGAGCGGCTTAAGGAGCTGGGCATGTTTAGCCTGAAGAAGAGAAGGCTGAGAGGAGATATGATAGCCATGTATAAATATGTGAGAGGAAGTCACAGGGAGGAGGAGCAACTTGTTTTCTGCTTCCCTGGAGACTAGGATGCCATGGAACAATGGCTTCAAACTACAAGAAAGGAGATTCCATCTGAACATGAGGAGGAACTGACTGACTGTGAGAGCCGTTCAGCAGTGGAACTCTCTGCCCCGGAGTGTGGTGGAGGCTCCTTCTTTGGAAGCTTTTAAACAGGGGCTGGATGGCCATCTGTCAGGGGTGCTTTGAATGCAATATTCCTGCTTCTTGGCAGGGGGTTGGACTGGATGACCCATGAGGTCTCTTCCAACTCTATGATTCGATGACTCTATGAAACAATGACTGAAATATGGTAAAATGCAGTGGACAAATAAGCCAGATCCCCAGAATGTTGACAATTTTTCTAATGCCATTATGATGATTTCTCACATAAACTGTTTGAAAATATTTGACCCACCATGTTCATTAGAGCTTTTGATGACTGTGATTTTTTCCACAGGTTGCTTCCCTTTTATTCTATGTAGACATTTCATCAGGTGGTTTATGTAAGGCTGAGGAATGGTATCTAATCCTTCCGGATTTGTGTTCATCTTGTCTTGAGCGCTGGTGTCCATGATTCTAACTGAACTGTTGATTCACATCACACAAATGTGAACATGTACCTCTGGTTCACCTTACACCTTCTAGTTAGCAACATTAATGTTCGTGTGTTTCTATGGTTATATACATGTATGTGCATCTGTACACCACACTGACACTTGTTGAACTGCAGTGCTATATAAGTGTGCATTTCCAGTCCGCTCCATGTGCTTCTCAGAGTGTAACACTATATCCATAAATGTTGTATCTGGCATACACACAAATATATACAAATGCATCTCTTTGTCCTATATTGCTTGTTGGTCTGAAGAGAGACAGACTAATCTTTTGTGGCGTCTTTCATACTAATGATACAGTGCTCACCAAGTTTCTTCAAGAAATATATATATATTCTTTATCATCATTATCTGCAAATGGGCCTTGCACACAACCATAAGATCCTAACAATTTATGGAGGCCTGGAAAAGTCCTTACTGGTCAGACTTTGTTTGGTCAGATAAATGCATACTTGGATGTACGAGGGTTGAATGAAAAGTAATGCCTCCACCTTCATAACTCCTCAACAGCTGGCAGTACTGGTATGTGGCAGGTACTGGCTTGTTCAGTAGACTCTTCTCTACAGTTCCATTTTGGCGAGAAGTGTTAGCATTGAACGGGTGTGTTGTTAAAGTGCAAAGTATGGAACCCTCACCCAACCTTTTTAACTTGTATGCAGAACACATCATGCGATGTGCAGGGCTTGATGAATGCAAAGCTGGGGCGAAAATTGCTGGAAGAAACATTAACAACCTCAGATATGCAGATGACACCACTCTGATGGCCGAAAGCGAGGAGGAGCTGAGGAGCCTTCTAATCAAGGTGAAAGAAGAAAGCGCAAAAGCCGGGTTGCAGCTAAATATAAAAAAAAACCAAGATTATGGCAACAAGAATGATTGACAACTGGGAAATAGAGGGAGAAAATGTGGAGGCCGTGACAGACTTTGTATTTCTAGGTGCAAAGATTACTGCAGATGCACACTGCAGCCAGGAAATCAGAAGACGCTTACTTCTTGGGAGGAGAGCAATGTCCAATCTCGATAAAATAGTAAAGAGCAGAGACATCAGACTGGCAACAAAGATCCGCCTAGTCAAAGCCATGGTATTCCCTGTAGTAACCTACGGATGTGAGAGCTGGACCTTAGGGAAGGCTGAGCAAAGGAAGATCGATGCTTTTGAGCTGTGGTGTTGGAGGAAAGTTCTGAGAGTGCCTTGGACTGCGAGAAGATCCAACCAGTCCATCCTCCAGGAAATAAAGCCCGACTGCTCATTGGAGGGAAGGATACTAGAGACAAAGTTGAATTACTTTGGCCACATCATGAGGAGACAGCAAAGCCTAGAGAAGACAATTATGCTGGGGAAAGTGGAAGGTAAAAGGAAGAGGGGCCGACCAAGGGCAAGATGGATGGATGGCATCCTTGAAGTGACTGGACTGACCTTGAAGGAGCTGGGGGTGGTGACAGCCGACAGGGAGCTCTGGCGTGGGCTGGTCCATGAGGTCACGAAGAGTCGGAGACGACTGAACGAATGAACAACAACAACATGGAACCCTGCGCAGACACTCAGTCAATGTGACTTAAGCAACATGCAGTCATTGAATTCTTGACAGCAGAAGGTGTCACCCCAAAGGAGATTCATCAGAGAATGCAAGCTGTTTATGGTGATTGTGTTGATGTGAGTACTGTGTGTCATTGGGTGAGTAAGTTTAAAGATGTTGAGGTGGGAACATCTGACTTGCATGACAAACAAAGAGTTGGATGTCCTGTGACAGCAACCACTGAGTTCCACAAACAAAAGGTTGACAGATTGATTTAGGACAATTGTCATATCATTTATTTATTTACAGTATTTATATACCACTTTTCTCATCCCGAGGGGGACTCGAAGCGGTTTACACGCAAGTCATGGCAGAAATTCAATGCCAGTACAAATTACAATTACAATTAGACATAAATCAAATTAAAAAATACATCCATGATCAATAAAACAATCAACAAAACAATAAAACAGTCACGTCCGTCAAATCGCCATTCCAGTCATTCTCTTTCCGAAATGCTGCATACATTTACTTCTACTGCCCGAAGGCCTGGTCCCAAAATCATGATTTCAGAGAGAGAAATTTCAAGCATAATCAGCATTTCACAATAACGTGTGGGTCACGTTATTGCTTTGCTTGGCTATCAGAAGATCTGTGCATAATGGGTACCCAGGATGCTGATGCCTGAAATGAAAGCACACAAACTTGAAACTTCAGAGACTGGATCTCACCACCATACGACATCCTTCATATAGTCCAGATTTAGCACTGTCAGGCTTCCATCTGTACCCGATAATGAAAGAAGATCTGCGGGGACATCATTATGCTTCTGATGAAGATGTTGAGAGAACTGTGAGACGCTGGTTACGGAAACAGCGTGTCGACTTCTTCCATGATGGCTTCAGAAAACTTGGCAATCATTCACAGAAATGTATCCAATTGTCTGGTGATTATGTGGAAAAGTGACTAGTGGTAGTTAAAGAGCACATTCTAAAGATTATTTCTGCATTTGATTTATTTATTATTTATCGTGTCAGGGGCAACCAGACCATTGTATTACATTTCTAATAGAACAAAACAAACAAACAGGTTAAAAAAACAAAGTTTGCAAACTTGGTAGTTGATTAAATGTCCTTTGACCAGTATCTGGCCACTTGGAGTGCCTCTGGTGTTGCCGCAAGGAGGTCCTCCATTGTGCATGTAGCAGGGCTCAGGTTGCATTGCAGCAGGTGGTCAGTGGTTTGCTCTTCTCCACACTCGCATGTCGTGGATTCCACTTTGTAGCCCCATTTCTTAAGGTTGGCTCTTCATCTCGTGGTGCCAGAGCGCAGTCTGTTCAGCGCCTTCCAAGTCGCCCAGTCTTCTGTGTGCCCAGGGGGGAGTCTCTCATTTGGTATCAGCCATTGATTGAGGTTCTGGGTTTGAGCCTGCCACTTTTGGACTCTCGCTTGCTGAGGTGTTCCAGCGAGTGTCCTCTGTAGATCTTAGAAAACTATTTCTTGATTTAAGTCGTTGACGTGCTGGCTGATACCCAAACAAGGGATGAGCTGGAGATGTCACTGCCTTGGTCCTTTCACTATTGGCTGCTACTTCCCGGCGGATGTCAGGTGGTGCGATACCGACTAGACAGTGTAATTTCTCCAGTGGTGTAGGGCGCAGACACCCCGTGATAATGCGGCATGTCTCATTAAGAGCCACATCCACTGTTTTAGTGTGGTGAGATGTGTTCCACACTGGGCATGCATACTCAGCAGCAGAGTAGCATAGCGCAAGGGCAGATGTCTTCACTGTGTCTGGTTGTGATCCCCAGGTTGTGCCAGTCAGCTTTCGTATGATATTGTTTCTAGCACCCACTTTTTGCTTGATATTCAGGCAATGCTTCTTGTAGGTCAGAGCACGGTCCAGAGTGACTCCCAGGTATTTGGGTGCGCTGCAATGCTCCAGTGGGATTCCTTCCCAGGTGATCCTCAGAGCTCGGGATGCTTGTCTGTTCTTAAGGTGAAAGGCACATGTCTGTGTTTTAGATGGGTTAGGGATCAGCTGGTTTTCCCTGTAATAGGCAGTAAGAGCACCTAGATCTTCGGAGAGCTTCTGTTCAACCATCTCAAAGCTCCCTGCTTGAGCAGTAATGGCACGATCATCAGCATAGATGAAACTCTCTGTCCCTTCTGGCAGTGGCTGGTCATTTGTGTAGATGTTGAACATGGATGGAGCAAGCATGCTCCCCTGAGGCAAGCCATTCTTCTGTTTCCGCCATCTGCTTCTCTGGCCCTGGAACTCAACAAAAAAGCTCCTGTTTTGTAGCAGGTTTCCTATAAGGTGGGTGAGATGGTAGTCCTTTGTGATATTATACATTTTTCTCAGGAGGAGGTAGTGGTTTACAGTATCATAAGCCGCTGACAGGTCTATGAAGACAGCTCCTGTGATCTGCTGCCTTTCAAAGCCATCTTCTATGTGCTGAGTCAGGTTCAGCACTTGATTTATTAAAGTATTCCCATCCAAGTAACGAAGGTGGAGGCATTACTTTTCATTCAACCCTCGTAAGAACAATCATCCAGAAAAAGGAAACTGGACTGGATTTCCACACTCACTTAGACTGAAAACAATATACCTGTTCTCCAATAAAATTATAATTGCTGTTGAATTTGTAACAATTTTAAGCATATTTTTCTTGGAAGAGAACTGCAGTAAGTTTAGATTACTGACTCTTTCTCACGAGCACAAAACCTTCCTTATGCTCTATATACACCTCTGTTCTATAGCCATTGCTAACACAGTGGTGGGAAAGACTTTACCTGAAGGTGGCAAGAGGTGTAATCAAACAAAACCCCATGAGCTTGGCTGTGTGTTTATTTCCAGGAGCCAGAGGTTAGAGAGTTTAAAAGAGTACAGCCCTCTAACTGTGGCAGCTACCTCCCGGTGGATACTCAGGAACGAGCGGTATCTGGGAGGGCTTCTTCCATGCCACGTCTGACTGTGGATCCCCAGGTAAACCCAAATGAAACAATGACTGAACAACAGGATTATAATATTACATAAGATACACAATTCTTCCACATGAGTTTGTTGCATAGCTTTATTGGTGCCTAATAAGTTAGCTGTTTATACCGATCCAAAGAAGTTGCTGGTTCCAGAATCCAATGTAGTGCTTCAGTGAGACAAGGAACACTTATAACTTCCTAGTTTTTCCAGTTGGTGACCTGGAAAATATGAGGGGTATTTTTTAAGTAAGGTCCGTTTTGTTGTAGACACTAGTAGTTCGTGCACGTACCGCAACGAGCACGTGCGTCGTGTACTGGCATGCCTCGGAAACAACTGTGCTCAGTTTCCGCTCTGTAGCTAACCTGTACGGTTCTGTTCTGTGCTTTGAAAATGTTTAAGACTATCAACTCACCCACCACATGTGAGGTTCGCTCAGTGATACGGTTTTTGTCAGCAAGGAACCTGCCTGCTGCAGAAATTCATCGACAGATTTGTGAAGTATACGGTGATACTGTTATGAGTGAAAGCAAAGTGCGTAAGTGGGTACGACAATTCAAAGATGGCCGTGATAACGTCCATGTTGAGGACCGCTCCGGTCGCCCTTCTTTGGTTACAGATGATTTGGTGGCTTCAGTTGAAGCGAGGATTCGTGAGAACAGGCGCTTCACAATAACAGGTCTCTCAAATGAATTTCCTGACATGTCAAGATTAGTGCTTTACAACATTGTTTCTGAACACTTAAAGTTTAGGAAACTGTGCTCCCATTGGGTCCCGAAACTCCTAACAGAGGACCACAAAAACCAAAGATTTGAGTGTGTGATAAAATCAAATCATCTGTAATCAAAGAAGGGCATTTAAATATCTGAACGAATGTCATAAGGAAGAGGGGGCTGGCTTGTTTTCTGAGGCCCTGGAGACTAGGACTCAGAATCATGGGTTCAAATGACAGGAAAGGAGATTTCACCTGAACATTAAGAACAACTTCTTGGCTGTGAGAGCTGTTCAATAGGGGAACTCTCTGCCTCGGAGTCTGGTGAAAGTCCCATCTTTACAGGCTTTTAAACAGAGGCTGGATGGCCATCTGTTGGAGATGGTTTAATTGTGCTTTTCTTGCATGGCAGAATGGAGTTGAACTGAAGGGCCGATAGGGTGTCTTCCAGCTCTATGATTCTATGATTTTACTTTTGAAGTTACTTTTTTCCAGAAGGTATATCAGTATTTATTTATCATGCCAGGAGCGAACCAAACAGTTGTATTGCATTACAAACAAACAAACAAACAAACAAAACACAAAGTTTGCAGACTTGTTATTCTTTTAAATGTGTATCAGTTAAAACATGTGGTCTTCAGTCTGACTTTTTAGGGATCAGTAACTGTGGCCATAGCAAGTTTCCGCTCTCAGATGTTGCATATACGAGGGGTATTTTTTAAGTAAGGTCCATTTGAACATAAGTACACAATGAAAGTTTATTTCAAAAAAGTAAATTTATTTTCAGAAAGTACATACTTCACTCTATTTTTCGACATAGTTGCCAAGTTTGTTCAAACACTTATCATACCTCTGAACCAATTTTAAAATACCCTCTTCATAAAAACTTGCCGCCTGCTCCGATAACCAAATAGTCTGTAATCAAAGAAGGGCGACCGGAGCGGTCCTCATCATGGACGTTGTCACGGCCATCTTTGAATTGTCGTACCCACTTACGCACTTTGCTTTCACTCATAACAGTATCACCGTACACTTCACAAATCTGTCGATGAATTTTTGCAGCAGGCAGGTTCCTTGCTGACAAAAACTGTATCACTGAGCGAACCTCACATGCGGAGGGTGAGTTGATAGTCTTAAACATTTTTAAAGCACAGAACAGAACCGTACAGGTTAGCTACAGAGCGGAAACTGAGCACAGTTGTTCCCGAGGCATGCGTGCGAACTACATGCTCGTTGCGGTATGCGCACGAACTACTAGTTTCTATAACGAAACGGACCTTACTTAAAAAATACCCCTCGTAGATCTAGCTATTTCTCCAAGGTCATCATGAGGCAAAGTATGGAAGCAAACATTAGCACCCCAGCTATCACCCAAATCGCTTATAGTCTGGAATGAAAGCTTTAGGGGAATCACCTTCCTATCCTACTTCGGCCATTGCTGGCAACAGCAAGAATGCCAACAGCTTGGAAGACCCCATCTCCCACTTGGAAAGTATTTATTTTTCTTGACATTCATTGTCTTCTCTTTCAAGTCTTTTCCCATTGTCTACATGCCTTCTGCCAAGCATCCTGTCCTGATCAGTCTTGGCCATTTTTCATCCCTTTGTCTGTTGAGCAAGGTTTTTTCTGTCTGTTTGTCTCATAATCAGGTCTGATTAATAGAGATACAAATTATTCCAGGTTTGAAATTGGAAGCCTATCTTACCTTGCAGCAGTAAAAACAATTGTCTCACACTGGAGGAACTTGGTAACAGAATGGTCCAGTTAATGTCTATTGTGTCGACCCCGTATGCCCTGCATAAGCAAACAGCAAGGGGAGTAAAGACCTTTAGCAATTTGCAGATGAATTTGTGCTTGACAGCAAGGGCAGCATGACAGCTTGTTTCTGTTTTTCTGTCATATTTGCTCCCAGAATAACTGTTTCCCAATCTATAAGTCAGATGCTGTCACTCTCTTGCCATGAGATGCACAGAGGGGCTTCCAGTGACAGCTCACTAAAGCCACACGATAGAGGAAGACGGAAGGGGAAAGTCATATTTCGTGCCAAGATAGGCACTCCCAGATTGAAGGATGGTATCAGTGGGAAGGAAATGTAAAAAAAAAGCAAATAAATGTAAAAAAAAATAGCAGGAAGTAGGCCGATGGATACATTGAAAAGCCAAGATAGAGGAGTAAGTGAATTAAAGTTGAATCATGATAATTATGAAACCAAGAAGAAGGAAATGAGGACTGAATTTATGAATGCAAAAGAGCAAAATGTCAGGAGAGGTTATATTTCGATAATGGTTATGGGGCAGAATGGAAGACAAAATTAGAATACATTGTCATTTAATCGGACAGCAGATCGGCCTCTCACTAAAGTAATAAATCTGTTTCTGCAGCATCTGACAGTAGTGTGGACTTCCGTGTCAATATTTCTCCATATAAAACAACCAATATAGTGAATTAATAGGAGCCCCCGGTGGCGCAGTGGGTTAAACCCCTGTGCGGGCAGGACTGAAGACCGACAGGTCGCAGGTTCGAATCCGGGGAGAGGCGGATGAGCTCCCTCTATCAGCTCCAGCTCCTCATGCGGGGACATGAGAGAAGCCTCCCACAAGGATGATAAAACATCAAATCATCTCGGTGTCCCCTGGGCAACGTCCTTGCAGACGGACAATTCTCTCACATCAGAAGTGACTTGCAGTTTCTCAGGTCGCTCCTGACACGACAAAAAAGAAAAAAGAAAAAAAAGAATGGGGTAGCAGGTACATTTTTCCCAAAGATGATGATGATATTATTATTATTATTATTATTATTATTATTATTATTATTATTATTATTTGAAACACAACAAGATGAGTCCACAGCAGACACTCTGTTGGCTGTCTGACACTTCCCAAGTGTCTAGGACTGTGTGATGTATTGGTGAATAATAATAATAATAATAATAATAATAATAATAATAATAATAATCTTTATTTGTACCCCGCTACCATCTCCCGAAGGACTCGGTGCGGCTTACAAGAGGCCGAGCCCAAAATACAACAGTAAAAACAACAACAACAATACAGCAAAATAACTCAAAAAACAAGGCAATAACATTAACAACACACAATGACGCAATTAAAATCTATGGCAGGGCCAAATGTAATAATTAAAATTAAAAAGTGCTGGGCATGACCAGGTGAGGTGTTTGGAGGGGGATGGGCATGCAGATCCCAATAAAGTGGCCTTTTGCAGCTGGCAGATGGTTATTTTGTCAGCGCCGATTGTGTTTAAGTGCAGGCCAAGGTCTTTAGGCACTGCACCCAGTGTGCCGATCACCACTGGGACCACCTTGACTGCCTTGTGCATTATTATTATTATTATTATTAACACAACAAGATGAGTCCACAGCAGGCACTATGCTGCTGTTGAATTGGATCACACAACGGACACGTCCCAAGTGACTAGGACTGTGTGATGTATCGGCGAATAATGCGTGCAGATCCCAATAAGGTGCCTTGCTGCAGCTGGCAGATTGTAATTTTGTCAGCAGCAATTGTATTTAAGTGCAGGCCAAAGTCTTTAGGCACTGCACCCAGTGTGCCGATCACCACTGGGACCACCTTTAGTGGTTTGTGCCAGAGTCTTTGCAGTTCAATTTTTAAATCCTCATATTGTGTCAGCTTTTCCAGTTGTTTCTCTTCAATCCTGCTGTCACCTGGGATTGCGACATTATTATTATTATTATTATTATTATTATTATTATTATTATTATTTCCAAGGATTTTCATTCCTGTATGAGCTTTTCCGCTACAGTGCAAAGTAGTAGTATAGCCTAAACAGTTTACAATTGTACTCAAAGGTAGGCCACTAAGCTACCCTGAAGTTAGGATGTTAATTTTTTTTTTTTGTCGTGTCAGGAGCGACTTGAGAAACTGCAAGTCACTTCTGGTGTGAGAGAATTGGCCGTCTGCAAGGACGTTGCCCAGGGGATGCCCGGATGATTTGATGTTTTTATCATCCTTGTGGGAGGCTTCTCTCATGTCCCCGCTTGAGGAGCTGGAGCTGACAGAGGGAGCTCATCCACCTCTCCCCAGATTCGAATCTGCGACCTGTTGGTCTTCGGTCCTGCCGGCACAGGGGTTTAACCCACTGCGCCACCGGGGGCTCCTATCATGTTAATAGGAATAGATGTTAATAGGAATATGATGTTAATAGGAATATATAATAAATTTGGCTACTTTCAAGATTTTTGCAATGAAAGTTTGTTCTGCTGCAGAACTAATTCTCCACTTTGGGCTGTCATTTGCATCCTTTTAGCCACTGCTTTTTTTTTCAAATTCTAGCTATGTACAAAGAAAAAATTGATCAGCAACCAATCTTTCTAAACACACTATCCAAAATGAGGCCAATTGAACCAATGTAATATATGTAGTGATTGTATATTCAGTTTGGTTTTTTTCAGCAGTAGAATCACTGTAGTTGAGACAAACAACTAGGTCAAGGTGCTGACTTTCAGTAATCACTACAGTGCTCTCATGATGGTTAACTCAGTTTAGTTGGTAGACTAGTGAGTCGACATGGCAGAACTGACACTGTGAAAAAATAATTGACCACTGGTGTGTCAGTGACAACCTCTTCCTGCAAAAGAGGCATCACAGTATTTCAGAACCTGCCTAAAAATAACTGTCGCAATGAACTAGAGTAAATACATATTGCCATTACTGGGTAGAATCTGTTTTTATGCCCATGTCTACTAGGCCTGTGCGGTTTCGTTCGTTAATTCGTTAATTCGTTAAACATTCGTTAATTTTTGCATATACGAAACGATAACAAAACATATTTTCAAACCCGGAAGGGTTTTTAAATATCGAAACGGCAGGTGCCAAAAAATTTTGTATTTCCGTCCATTTCGGAAATACGTAAGATGGCCGCCTGGCTTGCTGGGAGCTCTCCTCTCTCCGCGCCGGCTGAGCAAGCGAGCGAGAGGGCGAGCGAGAGGGCGAGGGCGAGCGGCGAGTGAGAGGGATCCCATAGCTTTCCTGACCCCCCCTCCTCCCCCTTCCCTCCTTTTGCGGCCTTTCAGTCTCTAACTCACCAAAACGTCACTTAAACACGAGGAAGGGAGGAGATTAAAGCCTGTCATAGCGGTGGAGAGGAGACCGTTTGGCATGCAGGCGCACGGCTCCACGGATTAAACCCCGCACTTGAGAGTCCCAGGAAGGAAGGAAAGGAGGAAGGAAGAGAGAGGGGTCTGCTTGCAGGAAGAAGAGTTTGCCAAACTACAGCTCCCAGCGAGCGAGAGGGCGAGTGAGAGGGCGAGCGAGAGGGCGAGGGCGAGCGGCGAGCGAGAGGGATCCCATAGCTTTCCTGACCCCCCCCCCTCCCCCTTCCCTCCTTTTGCGGCCTTTCAGTCTCTAACTCACCAAAACGTCACTTAAACACGAGGAAGGGAGGAGATTAAAGCCTGTCATAGCGGTGGAGAGGAGACCGTTTGGCATGCAGGCGCACGGCTCCACGGATTAAACCCCGCACTTGAGAGTCCCAGGAAGGAAGGAAAGGAGGAAGGAAGAGAGCCCGCCAGAGTGAGTGCCTGCCTTCCCTCAATAATAATTTCTCCTCCCTATTCTACTAAATTAATAATTAAATTTAAAAAATTGAAAAAATATTGAAAAAAAAAGGGCGCCATCTTTACAAAATGTTTTGTAAATATTAACGAAATTTCGTAAATACCAAAACTTTTTTTGGAAAGTTTTGTAAATATTTTAAATATCGAAACAAAAAAACACCCCAATTACAAATCGATTTTAGAAACAAATTTTTTCTTGATCAAACAGGCCTAAATTGTCTACCTCTAAATTAGAAATATTTGACTCCAAAGACAAAAATGTCCTTCCAATTTTATACATGACATAAGTATTATTATTATTATTATTATTATTATTATTATTATTATTGACTTTATTTATACCCCGCAAAATCTCCCGAAGGACTTGATGCGGCTTACAAAGGCCAAGGCCGCCGACAACAACAACATACAATGCACAGTAAAACTCATAAGCAAATAATAAAACATCAAGCAAACAATAAAACAGTAAAACAATGACACCGTGACACAATTAAAAACCTAGAGGCCGGGCCAAATGTAATGGACAAAATTTAAAAGTGCTGAGCCTGACAGGTAATATGTAGAGGTATTTGGAAGTAGGTGGAATGTGCAGATAATCCTGAATCTCTAACAAAGTGCATTTGGGACTTAATGCCAGGAATTTCCTATTCTGGAAAGGCACACTGGAACAGCCAGGTCTTCAGGCTCTTCCTAAAGACTGCCAACGTTGGGGCTTGTCTGATGTCCTTGGGGAGAGAGTTCCAGAGTCGGGGGCCACCACAGAGAAGGCCCTGTCCCTCGTCCCCACCAAACACGCCTGCGACACAGGTGGGATCGTGAGCAGGGCCTCTCCAGATGATCGGAGGGAGCGTGCGGGTTCATAAACAGAGATGCGGTCATGCAGGTAGGCTGGTCCCAAACCGTTTAGGGCTTTGTAGGTGAGCACCTGCACCTTGAATTGGGACCGGAAAATGAACAGCAGCCAATGGAGCTCCTTGAACAGGAGGGTTGACCTCTATCTGTAAGGAGCACCAGTTAACATCCTGGCTACCGCCCGCTGGACTAGCTGAAATTTCCGAGCCATTTTCAAGGACAGCCCCACGTAGAGCGCATTACAGTAGTCCAATCTAGAAGTATCATCTGATCTGTTTAAATTAAACAGAAGATTTTGTAGACCCAACATAACTTGACAAAGTTCTTAATCCCTCTCTCATCATGATTTTGGAGTGATTGGAATCCAGTAACAGGTCAGGAATTTGGCAAAACGGAGTCCCTAACTCAGTAGATTTAATGAATTCATTCATTTATTTGATAGGACATGCTACGAATAGTGTAACATAATGATGATGATGATGATGATGATGATGATGATGATGATGATGATGATGATAATAATCTTTATTTAATACTCCCCCCATTGGGGAGATGGTGATGGGACAATAATCTTTATTATACAATCTTTATAATAATCTTTATTTAATACCCCGCCCAATGGGAAGATGGTGGCGGGGCAATCTGAGTAAATTCAGAAATAACTAAAACAATTAACCTTATCTGAAGTACATATATGACACAAATTAAGTCTCAGATGCTCCTCCAGATTTCTCTGGGGTTAAATATCTTAGATTATCCCTATCCTACACTAACATTAAACACCTTGAACTCTCCTAATAGCAAACTTTCCTCCTGCAAAGCAGAGAGATCATGCCAGGCACTAACCATCCTTCCACTTCCCCCGGATGCATTTCTAGGTGGTTACAGATCCAGGCTCCATGAGACGTTCATTTTCTACTATCCGAGACAAACGGACTAACACCTCCTGGTTAGATGAATTCTCCATGGAAAAGAGCAGTGAAAACACCTATAAGTCCCGCCGTCGCAGTTACCACTCTGCACTGTACCTATCTTCACGGCGCCTCAACACAGATTCAGGTAATTTAAGCATGACAGTGAGATGTGTGTGTGTGTGTGTGTGTGTGATAAGATTAAAGATGAGGCTGAGTATTCTGAAGTGATAAAGTTTTAGATCCCTCCTCAACAATTCCAAGAAAATTCAACTTCTATTTGAAAAGAATTCACAAACTACTATGAAAATTTCCCCATAAGATTTCAAAAGATGTAGAATCATAATGAAAAAAATAACAGTCCTTTTGGAAGGAAAGAATAGTTTTGAGAGAAACTCATACTGAAACATTGTTCTATAAGCAACAAGCATTTGATCCTATGTAACCACTACGCTTATACCATAAGAATGATACAAATAAACTCAACTACTGTTTCATTATAAAAAAAATAAAAAATAATAATCTGGAAGGACCTTCAGTCAGGACTGTTACTAAATGGTGACATTGTGATTCTCGCCATTTCCTCCTTTTGCATGCAGCTTGTATGTTTGAATGTATGACCCACCCACTGCTGATTTGCTCCAATATCCTTCCTTCTGAAACTATTTCTCCTTAATTATTTTAATGGCATTGAGTAGTGTGTCCCAATGACTTAATCCAGGTTAGTCCTACACAAACTAACCTGAAAAACGTCAACGGGACACTTATTTATTTATTTATTTGTGTCACTTTTATCCCGCCCATATCAGCTTGAAGGCGACTCAGGGCAGCGTACAAATCGGCACAATTAGATGTCATATTAAAATACATAAATTAGTTAAAAGCAAAAAAATCACATTACAATATATTTTAAAAACCGTAAAAGCAATAATAATAAAAATTATAAAAACTGTTTCTTCTTGTTCAAATCCTCAACCATTCCATCGTCTTAGCCGTTCTTAGTTCATATTCCAATTTGAGTTTATCTGGTCATGCTGAAGTTCCAAACGCTTGCTCAAAGAACCAGGTTTTCATTCTTTTTTTAAAGATCAGGAGGGAGGGGGCCGATCTAATATCCCTAGGCAGGGAGTTCCACAGCCGGGGGGTCACCACTGAGAAGGCCCTGTCTCTCATCCCCGCCAGACGTGCCTGTGAAGCAGGCGGGATCGAGAGCAGGGCCTCCTCAGACAATCTCAACTTCCTGGAAGATTCATAGGGAGAGATGCATTCAGATAGATAAGCTGGCCAGAATCATTTAGGGCTGGAGACTAGTTGATGCATATATCTACGGCTAAGCTACATTGGTTTTAAGTTGATAAGTTCCTATATATTTGTATTCTATTTTAATAGGATCAGACGTATGTTGTATGTTGTATCTTGTGTTTGCACTGTCTGTTTTTGATAAGGCCAACTGGCTAATCAATAAAAATTGTTGTTGTTGTTGTTGTTGTTGTTGTTGTTGTTGTTGTTGTTGTTGTTTAGGGCTTCTGACCAAATATGGATAGGCTCATGATATGAGTTAAGGGGTTAGTTAATCTGTGTAAGGTGACTTTGCTGAACTACTGCTCTTCTTTACTGTGGATTAAGTGTAAGGCATAAATGAGAATTCTGTACTACTCCAGATATTGTTAAATGGCAACTTCCAGCATCCCTAACAATCAGCTATGCTGGCTGGGTCTGCTGGGGGATGTATGCCAACTTCATCTGAAGGGTCCACATAATTCCCACCTCAACTTTAAGTATATGCACGTCTCTCTTCTTTCTGATCAAGTGAGTTCTGCTTGCATTAAACTGAATATGTTTTGCCAAGAATAGGCTGAAAACACAAGAGCTGCAAACAGGCCATCCAAGACTTAAAGAGAAAGATGATAGACCAAATGCAGAATAACCTGGAACAACTCCAAAGGATACTTGGCAAGCAGCGTGTCATTTGGAACATGCTTATGAAAAGGAAGGGGGAACTAAAGCTGCTTTATTGTGGGTGTTGTGGCATATTCATTGCATGTGTGAAAAGATGTGGGCTGCAACATTCTGTGCATCTAAGTGTACAGGAATGCTGTGATTTCATACGGATGTATTATAGGGAGTTGAGGAAGTTCAAACAAGGACTGAACAGTGCTAAACTACTGTTCTCCTAAGTATCCTGATGAAGAAATGTTCATGGATATATTCAAAGATGGAGGAGTAACAAGCTGGGTAGATGCGGGGAATGCCATGGATGTAGTGTACCTGGATTTCAGTACGGCCTTCGAGAAGGTCCCCCATGACCTTCTGGCAAGGAAACTAGTCCAATGTGGGCTAGGCAAAACTATGGTGAGGTGGATCAGTAATTGGTTAAATGGACGAACCCAGAGGGTGCTCACCAATGCTTCCTCTTCATCCTGGAAAGAAGTGACGAGTGGAGTGCCGCAGGGTTCCGTCCTGGGCCCGGTCCTGTTCAACATCTTTATTAATGACTTAGATGAAGGGCTAGAAGGCAGGATCATCAAGTTTGCAGACGAAACCAAATTGGGAGGGATAGCCAATAGTCCAGAGGACAGGAGCAGGATTCAAAACGATCTTGACAGATTAGAGAGATGGGCCAAAACTAACAAAATGAAGTTCAACAGTGACAAATGCAAGATACTCCACTTTGGCAGGAAAAACGAAATGCAAAGATACAGAATGGGGGACAATGCCTGGCTCGAGAGCAGTACGTGTGAAAAAGATCTTGGAGTCCTCGTGGACAACAAGTTAAACATGATCCAACAATGTGATGTGGTGGCAAAAAAAGCCAATGGGATTTTGGCCAGCATCAATAGGAGCATAGTGTCTAGATCTAGGGAAGTCATGCTACCCCTCTATTCTGCTTTGGTTAGACCACACCTGGAATATTGTGTCCAATTCTGGGCACCACAATTCAAGAGAGATATTGACAAGCTGGAATGTGTCCAGAGGAGGGTGACTAAAATGATCAAGGGTCTGGAGAACAAGCCCTATGAGGAACGGCGTAAGGAGCTGGGCATGTTTAGCCTGAAGAAGAGAAGGCTGAGAGGAGATATGATAGCCATGTATAAATATGTGAGAGGAAGCCACAGGGAGGAGGGAGCAAGCTTGTTTTCTGCTTCCCTGGAGACTAGGACACGAAACAATGGCTTCAAACTACAAGAAAGGAGATTCCATCTGAACATGAGGAAGAACTTTCTGACTGTGAGAGCCGTTCAGCAGTGGAACTCTCTGCCCCGGAGTGTGGTGGAGGCTCCTTCTTTTAAATAGAGGCTGGATGGCCATCTGTTGGGGGTGCTTTGAATGCAATATTCCTGCTTCTTGGCAGGGGGTTGGACTGGATGGCCCATGAGGTCTCTTCCAACTCTTTGATTCTATGATTCTAGGAGCTTCACAAACTGAGTACCCTTCTACACTGCCCCTATATCCCAGGATTGGATCCGAGATTATCTGCGTTAAACTGGATAATTTCAGCCTCCACTGCCAAATAACCTGGGATAAACAGATAATCTGGGATCAGATCCTGCCGCTCTGGCCAGAATGAAGAGAGAGGGGGGGCAGAAGACAGTTCCATCTTGTCTTCTGGACTTTACTAATAATATGATATGATATGCTATGATATATTGTAGTTACATATAATATTTATAATATTATAATGTAATACAATACTACTTATAATAATGCAATATTATAATTATATATTTTATATGACATGTAATATTACTAATAATATTACAATATAATGGAATAGTAAAATATAGTAATATATAATGCTGATATTGTACTATGCTCAGGCCTGTAGCCAAGGGGGGGTTTTAGGGGTTCAACCCCCCCCCCCCAATTTTTCAGGTTAAAAAAAAAAACCTCGTTTACTCATGAATTTTCACTGGTTAACCAAATCCCCGTGCTAAGTCTATGAGAGTCAGCTGCATTAAGATAACTACTGACCAAAAGGTCATGAGTTTGAAGCCAGCCTAGATCGGAGTGAGCTTCCAACCAATTTGTGTAGCTTGCTGTCGACCTTTGCAGCCCGAAAGACAGTTGCATCTGTGAAGAAGGAAATTTAGGTGCTGCTTATGTGGGGAGGCTAATTTAACTAATTTATGAGGCCATAAAAATCTCCAGCGAGCATGCAAAGAATGAGGAAGTACTTCATCAGTGTCACAAATGGATGGTGAATTGACAGCTCCACTGGTGGCCAGAATACCCTCATGAAAGAACTGGAATGTTAAATAGGCTCTGAGTGTCTGTCTATATATGTTGTGTGTCTATGGCATTGAATGTTTGCCATGTATATGTACATTGTAATCTACCTTGAGTCCCCTGCGGGGTGAGAAGGGCGGAATATAAATACTATAAATAAATAATAAAAGAGTTGAAACATCTGGCTGTATGAATGTGGTAGGTTTTGACCTTGTGTGTAGAATAGAAGGAAAGTGGTTGCTAGTGCCAAAGATTATTTAGAAGGATAATGAAGCCATCCTATGGTTATTACATATTGATTCAGGGTTTGGAACACATGATTGAGTATCTCTGTGGATTTTGCATGTGACCATGACTATGTCGTACACAGGCCATCGATCTGACACACATCGGTCAGGCGGCAGAGAAAGAGGCCGATCCAAGGAACGGAAGCACCTCCTCTCTCCAGACATTTCCCGTTGCAACTCAGAGGAAAGGAGTCCACAAGCAGATGGTGATTCACCAGAGCGACGGCAGTCTAGGTCTCCCAGTGAAGGCAGATCGCAGACTCCCAACAGACAGGTGAGTGTGTGAAGCTGATATCGAGCCGCTTTTTGGAGGATCTCCCCAGCCGAGGAGATCCCGAGGACTGCACCAAAGAGGGTCCCTGAACCTTCGTGAGAGCAGCGAAGCCAATTCCAGCAGCAAAAAATATTAAAATAATAAATCCTCACCAAAGCGGAAGAAGTCGGCGACCGAGGTGTCTTTATTAGCGATTCAGCTGAGATCGGATGTGTAGGGATATTTCCACTACAAGCATACCGCTACAGAATTTACAGGCATTTTTATAGCAAAAATACAGAAATACATTTCAAATTTCCCGCCCGCCCCTCTCCGCCCGGCTTCATGCTGATTGGTTGACGGCCCGAACAGCTGGGAGGAGGCTTCGCGGCCCACCTCGCAAGGGGCCAATCAGCAGGTTTCCCCGCCTCTGAGGAACCAGTCAGCGCCTTTCTCTCGCCTCCGAGAATGGACGAATCAGAAGAAAGAAGGCGGGACGACCGCGGACAATGGGGGAAATGATGGGATTATCACTAGCCGGCCAGCTGTAAATTGAGGCATTGTTTTGGCCGGCAAAGCGTGATCTTCTTTTAGAAAGGTTTTCCTGTCTTCAGATCAGATAAGGAGTGTCCTTATGGGTTTTGGTAAAAGGAACAACAGAGTCAGGACCGGGGACCCCGGGGGTCGTTCTGGTCCCTTTGTAATTTAATCAAAATGTCCAAAAGGACTTCCTCACCCACCAGACAAACTCAGAGAACGGGCAAAGGAAATCTCAACTTGTTATTGTCCATGCAGATGTGGAATAATCAAGCAAGTTTCGAGGGAGGCGGTGGTCCTCCCTCAGGCATTTCAACAGTCCTTGGTCACATTTTCCAGGGCAAGAGTCACGGGGGGAGGGAACAGGAGGGCAAGCAACATTTCATATACATTTCATCAATATTTCATACAGAGAAGATCCCGTCCCCCATCCCAGATATTTAATAACAAAATCATTTCTTTATTTGGAAACTTGGAGTCCTATGTTTCTGGAGAAAACTTGTGGAAAGGGAGGTGGTCTGTAGTCCAAAGCAAGCAGCAGAAAGTCAATTTTCCTTGGTAAAGGTTAGCAGATGGACGCTGAGCTGATTGGTAACAAAATCCATAGTTCGGTCCTTGGGGAACTATAACTCCTTCCCAAGGACTGGGCCTCCTGCCCGGCCCCCTCTCCGAGGTCTCCTGGGGGCAGCCGCAGCAAGTCCCCGGCTGCGGGGACTAGGCAGGAACGAGGAGCAGCAAGGAAAAAATGAGCTGTTTGTGCGGAGCCGGCAGAATTTGACAATCAGCTGTTTTCTCTCAAATTATATTCTTTAAAACAAAAAGATTATTTCCTGGGCGTAGGGATCCGAGATGAGAAAAGCAAGATAGCAGTTTGGTTAAGAATTAAGCATAGAAAAATATGGCACCGAAATGGAGTCGATCCGACATTTTGAAGTTTTAGAGGGTACGGATATCCGAAAGGGAGATTCCCGTATCCGCGGTTCCAATTGACGCAGTTTCAGCCTCCCCGGGACGCCAGGGAGACATCCCAGCTAGGCTCATGGCTCCCCGGAGCCTAGAAAGAGGTTTATTTCATGCATTAGGTTAGCTTAGGCAGTGAAGGACACAAAGTATCAAGCGGAAAGGTTAAAAAGTTGCAATTTTCAAGTACCTTTATTAGGGATTTGTTACAAAGTCAGGGCTTGGGGGAAAGTGAAAAAGGCTGAATGCAGTCCTAGTTTTGAGCTGTCTGTTGGGGCACATTTCATCCGTTGGTCCCAATCTTTGCCTCCAGGAACTGCGGAACTCTCCGCTGCGGTTCAAACCAGCTTGAAGGCAGGGGCCTCCACCGCGGTCAGGGTCAATTCCCCACTCGGAAACTGATGAAGGCCACGCCTTCGTAAAGTTTCTGCCCAAGCAAAGCTGCATGATAATGTAGGGAGAGGGACTATCCATCCAATTTTCCTGTTGTATGCTGCTTCCCCTTCACTTTCAGCACAGAGCCCATTAGATGAGGCATAGGCCAGGCTCTGTGCCAAAAAAGGAGATGAAGTGGACGCACCACTGCGGCAACATGGGGGATTTCCTGTATTGCCTTACTAGCAATGTGGGAAAGCCAGACGTCAACACTTCCTCCATAGGATGAGGGGCAAGCTAATTCATGCGATGTGGGATGTGGAACAATGGTTTCTCCATGCCCCCTGCTGGGAGCCCATGGATTCACACTATGCTGGGTAAATTCATGGGCCTTTATGATGAGGTCATATGAGACAGGCAAACCCACTGCATGCAGGTTTAACCCACTGCGCCACTGGGGGTTCCTTTCTGATACGATAAAAAAACAAAAACGTGTAGACATGATTACCAGTCTACAGAAAATGGAAGACAATCTCATTACCAAGCTGGTTAATACCCTGATGCTCTCTTTCTCAATCTCAGTCTCTCCATATCTCTCTCCAGCAAGTTGTCCCAGTTGTGGAAAGTAGGAAGTCTGGAGGCTTTATAGAAGGCATAAGTGTTGATCAAACATAATTTTTTGATTATACTGTCCAGATTCAGCTGCCTGCCTTTGCCACACCAATATTTAACAAATTTGGGACAACAAACATTTGACCTGTTATTTCCAAGCTTTTTTTATATGTACTCTTTTCTCTTTCTCTCCAGGGCACAGGTTCCTTGAGTGAGAGTTCAATCCCATCCATATCTGATACCAGCACACCCAGGCGGAGCCGCCGCCAGCTCCCTCCAGTGCCACCAAAGCCCCGCCCCCTCATCTCCTATGCTGCAATGATGCAACATTGTGGTGACACCTCCCCGAATCCTGACGACAGCGAGGGTGGCTCCCCTCTGCTTTCCGGCACTCTGGAGACAAACAACCCCTGCTTGACTGAGTCTTCCAGTTCCCCGACGGGAAAGCAGAGCCTTCTTTCCACTCCTCAGCGCTACATCTCAGAGCCTTACCTGATGCTTCAGGATGACTCCCATGCTTCAGACTGTGGTGAGGAGGAGACACTCACCTTTGAGGCTGCTGTGGCCACCAGCCTTGGCCGCTCCAACACAATTGCATCAGGCCCTCGCTCAAGGCACAGCTGGCAGATGCCCAACGGGCACTACCGGAGAAGGAGGAGAGGGGCATCACAGGGAGTGATGTGTGGGGCTGGTATTGATGTACTTAGCGATACGGAGGAAGATGACAAGTGCTAGAGGCTGCCTCCCCTTCTTCCCGCTCTCCTCTGACGCATGCCGTTTGCCACATTTGAAATGAATTGAATCGGAAGTCCAATGCGGCAGATACCAAGCCTTTGTGCAAAAAAAGAAAAAGGGTACAACCCATTGGTTTTAATTTTGTTCATTCTCCTTTTTTTAAAAAAAATGCACAAAAAGCATTTGATTAGCTCCTGCATCCATGGACCTAGAAAAAAGTGTACCTATTTGTTAAGTGGAAATGAAACATGGAACAGCAACCATCAGCCCAACAGTCACATGGGTCTCCTTCCTGAAAAAGGCAGGAGCATTTGTCCAAGGAGAGGCAGAAGATGCTACGAAAGTGTAATCAGAAACATACTGGGTACAACAGGGCTTTTAACAATATTACTTTGACCCCAGACACTTGCTTGGGCAAAAAAAGGAAGGAAGGAGTAGTCAAGTTGGTGCTTTGGAAGGTATGTGACCTCGGGTCCCCTTTCCTACAATTCAACCAACATGAGGAATAGGAGTGATCAGTTCCTCTAGAGGTCTTGCCCAAGGTAGAAGGCACAACATAAGGCTTTCTTGCACAGTCCGTTGTTTTCAGTTCTTCAAAAAGTGAACCATGCTTGTGATGAAACTGAGAGACTGCGATGAGGAGAAAGCAGGCCAAAGGCAGTAGAGGTTGCCCATGTTAATGAGAAGGATTTATTTAGGATGACACCAACCCCATGTTTTATACCATGGCCAGTCTGTTAAGGATGGAACAAGGACAGGGTCACTGCCATGCTAAATGTATATAACCCACCATACTCAGACATATATGTATATTCTGAGTTCAGAATGTGTAGAAAGAGTGTGCGTGGATGTATATATCTATGCTGCATATACAGACATGCCCATATGTAGAGATTTATTTTGATAAGCCAGTTTCTGTACTAGTATCAGGACAGTCTATTGTCTTACCCTCCAAGATTGGGAGCCATTTTTCCTGTGGGAATTCTGTGGAGCTTCAGAAGTGATGCGCCCATGACATTCCGTAATTTTTTTTAATCGTATCCGGAGAGATTTGAGAAACCGCAAGTCGCTTCTGGTGTGAGTGAGAGAATTGGCCGTCTGCAAGGACGTTGCCCAGGGGACGCCCGGATGGTTTTGATGTTTTATCATCCCTGTGGGAGGCTTCTCTCATGTCCCCACATGAGGAGCTGGAGCTGGTAGAGGGAGCTCATCCGCCTCTCTCCGGATTCGAACCTGCGCCTGTCCTGCCAGCACAGGGGTTTAACCCACTGCACCACCAGGGGCTCATTCCGTAAATGCTTGTCTGGGATACCTCCCCCCCCCC